GAAGCTGAATATAAAAATACTGAGATTCACGTCACACTTTGAGAAGGTCTCAAATTATGGGCGCTGGAACGTGGAATCAAAATAGCATGGCTCTACCATGCAGGCGTGGTCTCTCTATGTGACCTCGTGTTTTTTTGTTTCGAATGTACTATGCCATTCCCAGCAAAAATGTGTTTTTCAGTGGTGATAGACGTCATATTGCTGGTTGTCACAATAGCACGTGCGATTATTGACTCTGACTGACTCATATGAAGGATCTTTTGTGCTAGGTAGTCACATAATGAAAAATCTACAATTTGGGGATCAGGTCCATTATTTCTGGGGCAAAGATAAATGTATTACTACCGAGTTAGAACATAAATCTCCACATATATTCATATGATCTGTTCTAGATAAATGGAAGAGACATTTTAGTACCGAAACACTCGTTCATCGCACGTAAAACCCTTATTAGAATTGTAGTCTACATCATGACCAGTACTATTATAATAATACACACAATTCCAAAACTGTAGATTTGTCATGATATGACTAACTGATCTGTAATGTCTTACGTGGAAGTCACATCATTGTCCTCAATGACTTATCGTGACAATTAGCATCAAGATTGGAATTTCTAATGAACACATTTAGGCTGGAGATAGAACAATATAATTAATATGGATAAAAGAGATGATTTACATTAGAAAGACCATACCTGCAAGGCTGAGCCGTGCCATCCGATGAATTGAATCAATTATTTACGCGTTCCCCACAGTTAACCTTCTCTTCGTGTGAATTTTTGAAAGTAATTCCTGTCAGTAATTATATGCTCGACCTCAAAGTCGTGTGGTTAGAGTCCGGTACCGCCACATTACTCTCCCACCAGAATCAACGTGACATTGGTTCGATACCAAATTGAGTGGGATTGTCGCGCACCGAAGGTTTCCGAAAGAATAAGTGTCCTCTGGACATTGATAGGCTGAGAGATAAATCAGAAAGAAGGAGACAGCAACTGATCGTGAAATACATGTATTAATTTCAAAGTGTTTGTTTTGGTTCTTAACACGTGCAAAATGAAAATCTGCGCAGAGATTAAGTAGGAGTTGAACAACGTGGGATTATAATAATTAAGGATGATTTCGTATTGAGATGTTTCAATAAGTCACAGTATGATGCGTGGTAATAGCTATTGGTTAATAACTTAACTCATTGTCTGTATGAGTATTTTCCGTTTAGAAATTGGAAAACAATATTGATGTCGTATTGCCTTTGGCTTGAAATAAAAATTCAGCTGACATTTGTTCTTGTATACTGTCTGTACAAGTTCATTTTCAATTGCATTTGAATTAGTAGGCTAACTGAAGTTATCAAAGTATAACTGTGAAAAAAAATAATTCCAACTAGTGTTCCAGTTAGTTTGTTGAGTTTGATGTGGTTTATTTAGTCACGGGGAAATTTTCAAAACCTTATTTTTACTTGACCGTGATAGAGCTAGTAATAATACTAATACATACGGATGGTTATTGAAAATTCTTTTACGCGAAAACAGTGATAATTTTGTACATTTTGGATAGACAGTTAAGAGAAATTCGTGAGATACATTCTCTAGACTCACTGTTCTGATTTTCAATAGACTAATTGTTTATATTCATATCTACAGTCTAGACTTGCCTAAACTGATGATTTGCTTGCATGGTTGTGTCTGTGAACACAGTTTTAAGATATTTATGGAACTAGTGATTGACACAGAAACATAAAGAGGTTATCTGTATTGTGTGAAAATAACGAGAAAACAATACCATTTTATGATAATTACAAGTCAATTTGTTGACCGATTTTGTCAATGGTTTCATCAATTCTAATAATCACATTACTTGATCGTCAAGTTACGACAACGCTTTATGATGATAACCAGAAACCATTATGTTTAATTAGTTATATTGTTGATTGGGGATTAGAAAGTGGGAAATAGGTATTGTTGTTTTAGATGTTTCTTCAAAAGCAGAAATTTGTAGCGTTAATAGATCCGAGCTGCCTGATTATATTATAAATGGCAATTCAAAAATATTCTTCTACATATTGTTAGTTTTATGAATAGGCTCCGGAGTTTTGATTTTTAATGTTGGTTTGACGAAGAACTACATGATAGTTTAATTGTTATACTAGTGCAGTATGATAGTACCCAAATTTGAGGTCTTGATTTTCTGTATTATGTTAATCTTTTTAGGCAACCAACATGATAAAAAAATTCGTAAATCTAATTTCGTATCGAAATAACGATTATAATGTGTTTAGCAGGAAGGGTTGAAGAAGATACAAATGATTGTTAAATTCAAAAGGCATAGAAATATAATGCAACACACGTACAGGCCAGATTAAAGTGTTAAACTTAAATTGCATAGAGGATGTAATACAATACATGTAAAAGTTAGGTACACGTGCATTTCGGTGATGTATGTGACTATTCAAAAGTATAAAACTTGGCCAAGAAACATTCTACAAGTTGAGACGACTCATTTTTATTTATTTTATTTAAACACATAAATATTGATACAAAGAAGCACTAGATACATATGGGCCACACAAATCTCATTTGGTTTATGTGAGGGCTGTGATACTGACCGGGTGTCAAAACTGAAGTAGATGTTTTTCTTAGGGAGTCACATCCTGAGCCTTTGACCTAAAACAAGGATCCACAAGGCAGTGGAGCATCGTGAGGAGATGCAGTCTCATGGTAGCCGGTGACCAACGATTGGTTTATACGCCATTGGTTCCCTCAGGATCCTGGAGTTCATGTACACCATTGGTTTTGAATCAGGATTTTTCAACTCCCCTAGGTGGACATTCCGTGTCCACTAGCCTGGTTAAAGAGCAGTACATTCGCTTTTCGTCCTCTCAATTTCGTAAACATTAGTGATGTCACGAGAAGGCAGTGATGACATTTGTAAACATGTGGCAAAGATAATTAGAACTAGGAAGTGTCAAATAATTTTTGAATCGCATATGCTTCGCCTGTAAATAACACACTTTTGCATAGTAGTATATTGTGGTATAAACTTATTAAATCTAAATTGTCCTAAAAGCGTTTTGGGAGTGGTTCGTGTGAAATATATAAGCGGATAGTCTAAGTGGAGATTTTACATGTTAAGTAGCAAAAACATGGTAAACTGAACAGCAAAACAGTAAAACACGCCTTGATTATTTTCAGGACATTGATTATCCGTCGCATTTGATATGTATGAGACCAGTTGTGACAAGTGGTAATGACTCATAGGCAACTAGATTGAGCATGCAGTATTCCAAATAGTTCATTGGTATGTGTGATGCTAATGACTTTGTCACTTGGTTGATTTGATAAAAATCAAAGAGTCTGGATTAACACTTGGTTTTTAACATATAAAAATTCTGAAATGCGATTGGGATTGCAGAAACTTTATAGCTTTGATGTTTATGTTGTGATGAAACGAAGGTTTGTCCTAAAAGTTCCAATTTAAGTGATGGACATTATTAAAGATGTTTTTGTAGCTGTGGCATAACAATTTATCGCTTATTTTCAGTTCTCATACTGATTCTTCATTTAGTAACCCGTATTTTACCCTCTTTTTTTCACAATAGCAAAGGACATATTTACTTCATATAAGTTCAACTGGTGCTGTTAATACAAGCGATGTTCATTTTTCAAGGTGTTCAGTTATAATCCAAAGGCACTTTGTTTGCTGTAGTAGCATGATAGATTTTGTGGAATAGTTTGGATAAGTGGAAAGAGTCAATGAAAAGCATTTGATTGACGGATCCATTAACACAACGAGTAGCCTCGGTTAAATTGTAAGATCAATTGACAAAAACTAGTGACAATAGGATGATAAGATGAAAGTAGAAGCCAGTGGAGAAAATTTGAATATGTTACAATCGATCAGTTTCAAGTTCGTGTCAGTGAGTGCTCAAGGTTATTAGCTGGCGTTTGTTTACTTTGCGAAACCTCGGTCAGCGTTACATCATTATCTGAGAATAGTCAGTTTTACTTATATCAAAACTTTCTCGAAAACCTCTGAATATCTTATATTCATTTTATTCTTTACAGCTATGAAAAATAATAGACATTAATGACCTGTTGGAAGTTTGAGATTAAAAAGTCTTAAACTAGCAATGGAAATCCTTACTTGGAACATTAGGATCTTGCCACCAAATGTGTCTTAACTTTGATTTGTTTTCTGATTGGTGCAAACCCGAGTCGTTATACAAATCTTCTAAAAAAATTTATGGTCTCGAAATTTATGTGGAAGTTGACATTACCTATCCTCTGTCTCATAATGAGGCGGGCTGAAAGAATGTATATACACCTAAAATATTCCGATTTTCGAAGACCGTCCTCTCAAAGAGGTTTTTATGCTATATCATAAACATAAGTTTAGGCGAAGCGCCTGTGAAATAGAGCTTTAATATATACGTATAAAAACTACTGCCTAAGTATCGTTAATGTTTGCAGTTCTTTTACTGGGTTGGTATGATCAGTTTCATCCTAATGTCTTCAATGTTAGTGTAAGGGCTTCAGTTTGATAAATTTCTCCTATAAGGAAAGCCAAACGTTAAATCAAGCATACCCTGTACTGTCAACTTATTTTACATGTCTCTACCTTGCTCATTTTGTCAAATAACCTTTCAATTGTTCATGGCAATACATAATTTTTATTTCTGAAACATAAGTCAATCATCTAGTGATTTAAAATGTTTGAGTCAGCATAGAAATATTGATTATATATTGTGGCTTTATTTTTTATAAACACTCCAGCTTAGATCAACTTGTTATTGAAAATCTGAAAAGCCCTATCAAGTTGCTAAATTGAACTAATTTGTGTTTATTTTTCACCGGTTTTATTGTAGATGATGACAATGTTGACATATAATGTCATGCTTTCCTCTCTCTTTGCCTGTCCATCTATCTTTTAACTTTTGAAGTAAAAAAATATTTAGCAGTTCATTTCATTACTTACTATCTTTCTTTGTTTATCTGTAAAGAAATGAATTTTTATTTTACCAGTTATCTGTCCTTCTGGTTACATTGCACCTATTGTCTAGCTCAGGATAAACAGAATTTATTCCATCAGTTATACACTTTGTTTACTGGTAATCAAACATTGACCAATATTATACCATCCAGTTGGTTAGATTATCTTGTTAGTTTGCCTGGATCTGGATATTTAATTGCATTTGTTTATTGGCTACGTCATCCGCTTCTTTTGTGTTTTCTACTTCCATTTCTATTAATCTTTTTCATTTATTTTACTGTAATTTTGCTTCATTTATACCATTTACGTTTTTGGCTACGTCGTCATTTAAGTCGTTTATTGTCCAAGTTCAGACAGTCATCAACTTCACCATCAATATCCATATCATCTACTAGTCACATGTGTTTAGATTCACTAGCGGAATTATTACGCCGTATTGTTGCTGCCGTATGGGATGCGCATGGGCGTATATTTCACGGTTATGAAGTAATTGGTATAGAGAAATTACCGCCAAATGGACCAGCTTATTTAGTTTATTATCATGGAACATGTCCATTTGATGCATATTATTTTACATCGAGATATTGTATTGAACGAGATAGGTAAGAAATTCCACTTATAAGTTTTGTTTTATTTTGCCTAATGGATTGAAATCAGTTCATCCTGTCAAAAGTAACGTAGAATCAGTCACAAGTCAGCGTTGAATAAAGTTGCTACATCACACCATCATATCAAGGTGGAACTTTAAGCACTTAGGAGACCATTGAAAATCACTTAGTGTCAATAACCATCAATTATGCTAATTTTCACCAAACCCACCGACCGAACTATAATCTTATCTTCACTTGTAATTAACCTCGAGACGGGTCCCAGCGGAAATTTGTGTTTGTTGCAGTTCCGGTATGTTGAAAGTGAAATAGTGATCACGTACAACCTTGTTGTTAAAAATTGATTGAAATCAAAAATTTATATAACCAAATTTCAGCTCATCGACTAAGACGCTAAGTGCTCCGTGTGACCTCTGAATTTTGTGAGTTCAACCCTTATTGGTGTTGTGGCGGGGAATGCTGATCCCTGTAATAGAACGAGACAGATCTAATGGTTTCTAGTTTTAAGCATTTGTTTAACTAATGTCAGTCCGTAATGTTGGACTACAAAGTTCAACAATTTCCAAAAGCACCCTATGCTAAAAATATTTTTTTAAAATATATTCTAATGTCTTTCACTTCGAAACGCTGGCATTTTTAGTTTCATAATATAATTTTCTGACAAATACTCAGGTGTATTTGAAACTAAAGACAACGAGATTGAAGAATCGAGTGCTTTTCGTCGAACCCATTTTGGACATTTTGTAGATACTTGTAGGTAGTATTCATTCCTTCCAAGTGTCAGCTGAGTTCGATTATTGAGATTTTTCATGTACAAATTAAACTAATCTCCACAAAATCCTCTCTCTCTCTCTTAGTTAATTAATTGGATTCCACTATTAGTCTAGTGAAAAAGATGAACTATTGAGTTGTTTCATCGAATGGTTTTGTTTGAAATGAAATGAAAACCACCGTATCTCGAAAGTTTTTGTTTGTAACAGGCTGTTGTATTTTATGAGATGATTAAGAAATGTACTATTTATGTCCATCAACATATCACCTGAACGCACGATGATGGCTAGGGTAGGAGCAAGTTGGGATATAGTTAGCGACGGCCAAACCGAGACATGGAATTATTCCATGGAGACACTGACAACTGAACTGAGTCATGTAGGTAGGTGCAGACTATACAATTTTAGTTTGCTTAATTATTGTAACCAATTGTTTTAGGCTTTGGGTGACACATGGCTTTGAATCGTCTCTTGGTTTCTTAATTCTCCATAAATTTTTATTTTATTCCACTTGTTTACGTTTCCTCGAATCGTATCTTTGATGCCGGATATTTCCTATAACTGCATTTACCACTTAATGATTCGCTCTAACGGTTTCATCTCATTGTTCCTATGGAATATGGCAATTTGAAGTGATGTACGTATGTGCCAGGCTCTACGTTAATAATGATTGACTATAGAACGGTAATAGTTAGGACACTTTATATTTGTTCGAATGCTAGCCTACTAATTATCTAACAATAGTATCAGCAGACCTCATATGTAAAATTTAGATATAATGTTGATCATTCCGTACCCTGACATGTCCCTGAAAGTCGAACATAGTTGATGAACCCGGTAGGCTCTTCTGGAGAAAAGGCATTCATGGAAGCAGGGCACAACTAGTGTGGCGCAATAGTTTCTGCAGATTTTTGTGTTCTTGGTTTTACTTCTTGTCCAGTGATGATAGACCATCTATATACAACATAGCAATGATTGGTAATTCTTTTTGAGTTTGGTAATTTTTTGTTGCGTCCGTACAGTAATATTTATCTAGGTCATTGTTTATTGTTGATATTGTATTTTCGATCCTTCTAGGTGCTCGTATTTCTTGAGGGCTTTGGTTTCGTAGTTGTGTTTGATTTAGTTGATTTAATTTGGGAATGCATGAGTTTGTGTGCCTTTTGAGTCATCCTTCAGTTTTGTAGGTTTTTGTACAGCCTCCTAGAGGACATTTATACTCCTCCTGATGCATGAAGTCTTTTATCCTTGTTGGTGGTCATTTCTATTATACCTATTCATTTCCTTAATTGTGGCAAATAGTTGTTGACAGTTGCTATCTCCGCATTTTTATATTAAGTTAAGTTACTGTCGTAACTCGTTTAACCTTTTTCTTGCTGTCTTTAAATCACAGAATCAAGTTTAAAAACTTATTCTTTGTATTCATGTATATTTATGAATTTCCACAGATTTCCTGTTCCTGTTGTAGACAGATTTTTATTTCGTGTACCTGGACTTGGACGTTTATTAGAAACAATCGGTGCAATTAAAGGTTCTGTTGATGAATGTGTCGCTCATTTGCAACCAGGTCATATTCTCAAAAGTAAGTTGGGTTTATAATGTTATCGTTAATTTAATCATGTAATATGCTTACACTCAGTAATCCAATTGTTCGATAGAGGACTAGATATTAACCAAAACGAGTTTGTTAATACAAATTAAAAAGGCGAAAAAATGGGAGTAACTCAATTCATACTGTACATATTTGTGTACTTGGCTTTGAGTCACACAAAGGAGGAAAGCTAGTCACGCTACCTGGTTGCTCAAACTGAAATAGGTAGAATGAGGTTTGAGCCCCTAACTTAGTAGTCGAAGGTCAGACGTTTTAATCACTGAATCACCTCTCCATTCAGATGTCTGTCTGCACTCCTTAAGCAGTTAGTAGTCTATTAACTTGGACATATTGACTTGATGATATTTTCATATTCTCATTTTTATCGTTCATATTATTTTGTTGCCCATGAAAAACGATCTTTGAAGGAGGTAAAAGATAGCTCCATAGGCCATATTTTTCTTTAACACTGTACCTCTCATGTTTAGACGTCCACTGTAATTGAAATCAGTTCCTCTTCGGGTGTGGTGATCTAATGTGTGACAATTTGAACTGATATACAATCGTGCTAGATTCTATTTTGATAATGACATGATAACAGTCCATTAGGTTATTGATTGTTGGAATTGGCTGTTTTAGTAGATACAGTCTGTTTAATTTAGGTCCTCGCCACAACCGCGATCAGTGGTTATAGACGTTGGGTGATAGGGCTCAGAATTGGATGCATTTTTGCCAGTACACTCACTGCTTATCTTCCTCTGAATCTTCATTCACAGTAGTCATCCATATATACCTTTTACTTCTATCTTCCCAAACCATACTATCATTGAATTCACTTAGTATTGTTTGTTTGGATCTTCCCATCGATGTGTTTAGGACTGCAACTGGTCAGTCTCTTATTGGCATATGTCCCAGAGTGAACATCAACTCTGAGATGCAGGTACATCCAGCTGACGAGTCCCAAATAGGACGAAACGCGCGTCCTGGATTCCACTGCTAGCCACTATCCATCTCTGTTTACCATACTATCATTGTTTAATCTTCCTCGTTATAATTGCTAGTAAATTATTTTGACTTCTTTGCTATGCATTACATTAATTTCATCTCACCGCGCTTATTTCGTATATTAACTTTACCTGATCTAGCGTAGATTTGTGATAGGCTTATATTGATAGACACTAACTGACAATATATAGAAATGGTGAATCGGTTAAGCGGATGGCTATGAATCTTCCTCAACTCAAGTGATCAGGATGCATGCGTGTTACGCATACACAATTACCATCCACTTTTACTCACGTTATACTAACTATTGTAAGAGTGTGTTGATAAAAAGTACAAAGTTTCTGGATCACGATGTGTCACCGGTTTGTCCTGTCAATGAGCGTACTCCACACTCGCAATTTTTCTCAGTAACACATCAGAGTGTGGTGTTAACTCAATTCTACCGCTTCTGCTACTAGTCTGATTTATAGAATGTTCTGATGTGTATTATTTTTTTCCTGGGTATGTGAGATTTTTATTTAGCTAAGTAATAGGGAAGTCCTGAGTTCGACACTGTGTAAAAACCTAAATGTGTTCTCTTAAGTAGTTGTAATGTAACCTCTAAATTTTAATCCATACATATTGGATATTTAGATCGGAAGTTGCTTTGTTTGAGTCCTGAAGTGAACATCAACTCTGTGACTCAGGTACATCTAGCTAATGGGTTCCAAGCAGAATGAAGTGCACATCCTGGATTCCACTGCTAGCCGCCATCCATAACTGTTTAAATCGTTTACTGGTGGCATTCCCATTAGTAATAATATTCAATTTTCCTTCAAAAAATTGGACTAATTGCTTGTATGTTAGGGAGTTAGAGGTGTTCAATAGGGAACTCTGTTAGATAGTTTAGACTTGTTAGCTCAAGTAATTCAAATGATAACGTCTCACATTATGAAACTGAATCCATCATTGAACAGTTTCCTGGAGGTTGCAGACAAGCTCTACTAAGAAGTGCTCACTAGCTCGAAACGTAGATTCACAGTATCCTGTTGATTAACTTAGACTACCTAATTCCTCCGCTTATTGAATGTGATGTTAAGCTATTTAGACTACTAACCAGGACTCTGCAACTAAAGCGATAAAATATAATCGTGGTTAAAAATTTATTTATTTATTTAAAAATATAAATATTGGTACAAAGAAGCATTAGATATATATGCGCCACACAAATCTCATTTGATTTGTGTGAGGGCTGTGATACTGCCCAGGTGCACAAACCGAAGCAGGTGTTTTTCATTGGGGGCCACACCCTGAGCCTTCGACCTAAAGATCTGATCCACAAGACAGTGAAGCATCGTGAGAAGATGCAGTCCCATGGTAGCCGGTGACCAGCAATTGGTTCATACGCCATTTGCTCCCTCAAGGTACTGGAACAAGCCCATGTACACCACTGATTTGGAATCAGGGTTTTTGAACTCCCCTAGGTGGACTCGCCTTGTCCACCAACCCGGTTAAAGCGCCGGACATTCGCTTTTCGTCCTCTCAATTTCGTAAACAACAGTAATGCTGTGAGAAGGCAGTGAGTAGGACTTCCCTAACAGAGGCTATATACGCGTGGCCATGTGAGAGCATTTGGAGAGGAAAAGCGAACTCTCCCCACTTTAGGCCCTATCAGGGTATTTGGGGGCAAACCAGCGCCTTAGACCACTCGGCTACTCCACCGACTAGACAAATATGAAATTGTTCATTACTAAGTGATCAATTAACATAATTATTTGTAGTCTACATCATAGAATAATTTTAGCTGAAAAACTATTTCAAAACAGATGGTATCCAAAAGCTGTTTTCTTCCTCATATGGAAATTTTCATCATTGCCCACTATGGAATGTAAACCAAAAACTGAATAATTTCCACTAACATTCTATCAGTAATCTAATTCTATTCAATGCTTGTTTCTTTTGTTTTTACATTATAATTAGATGGTAAAGTATCTCAAGGTGATGTATTATTAATCTCTCCTGGAGGTGTTAGAGAAGCTTTATTCTCTGATGAATTTTATACGGTTATGTGGGGGAATCGTCAAGGTTTTGCACGTATTTCATTATTATCTGGGCAAGTAAGTTAATACATAAGAAATTTTCTAAAGATTTATTAAATAACAGTTAAATGTATAGGAGGTATTAAAATATATTGTAGATTAAAAGCCCCCAAATGCCCTTGTACGGCTGAGAATGGGGAGAGTCCGCTCTCCCTATCCAAATGCTCTCACATGGCCACGCGTATATAGCCTCTGACAGGGAAGTCCTACTCACCGCCTTCTCGTAGCATTACTGTTGTTTACGAAATCGAGAGGACGAAAAGCAAATATCCGGCGCTTTAACCGGGTTGGTGGACACGGCGAGTCCGCCTAGGGGAGTTGGAAAACCCTGATTTCTAACCAAAAGTGTACATCGGCTCTAGTATCGTGAGGGAACAAATGGCGTATGAATCAATCGTTGGTCACCGGCTACCATGAGACTGCATCTCCTCACGATGATCCACTGCCTTGTGGGTTAGACCTTCAGGTCAAAGGCTCTAGGTGTGGCCCCCTAAGAAAACCACCTGTCTTAGTTTGGGCACCTCGGTAGTATCACAGCCCTCACACAAATCAAATGAGATTTTTGTGGCGCATATATATCTGATGCTTCTTTGTACCAATATTTATGTGTTTAAATAAATAAAAATAAATCCGCATTACAATCCAAGATGCTTATCTCATCCTATTTGGGACTTATTGGTTAGATGTACCTTTATCCTAGAGTTATTGTTTGAACCCAGTAATTATTACTGCAAACATCAACGCCTTATTCATTGATAAGTTTTAAATAGGATAGAACACAAGTCCACAAGTCCACACAAGTTGATTACTAGTTACAAGGTAACTATTACTAAAAATTGGTGACTATGAATGACAATCCACCTCCAAATACCCTGATACGGACGAGGTTGTGGAGAGTCCGCTCTCCCTCTCGAAATGCCCTCACATGGCCACTTGTATACAACCACTCACAAGGAAGTCCTACTCAGTGTCTTCTCACGTCCAGAGTGTTATTTACGAAATTGAGAGGACGAAAAGCGAATGTCCAACGCTAGGAGGACCCACCTAGGAGAGTTGGAAAATCCTGATTTCAAAACAATAGTACATATAGGCTCCAGGATCGTAAAGGAACAAACAGCGAGTGTACCTACTGTTGGTCACCGACTTCCATGGGTATGCATCTCCTAACGATGCTCCACTACCTTGTGGATCAGACTTTTAGGTCGAAGGCTCCGGGTATGGCCTCCTAAGAAAACCACCTGCTTCGGTTTGTGCACCCGAGCAGTATTCCAGTACCCACACAAATCAAATGAGATTTGTGTGGCGCATATATATCTGATGCTCCTTTGTACCAATATTTATATTTTTAAATAAATAAATAAAAGGCAACGATAACAAAGAAGACTCAACTTTAAATGTTTGATTCTTTCTTCTATTGTTTTTCTCTTTTTTCTTTCAGCCTATTTATCCAATGTTTACAGAAAATATTCGTGAAACTATAAGAATTGTACAATTTGGCAAAGGTAACATTAAAATCTTAAAAATTTACATTTTGTCCTCATAGGTTGGTGGCGTAGTTTATATGAACGAACACGATTACCATTAGCAATATTTTATGGTTATTTCCCTGTTAAGCTTAGGTAAGTTAATTTGTAAGGAGTAATTATATGCTCATTATCAATAACTAATTTCATGTGGTAATTCCCGACGTTTTAGTTTGGGAAGCCATGATCAGTGGAGCTCAACCGTTTAGAGCGAAAGCCAGCTACATAACAATGGTGTTGATTAATAGCTGAGTAATATCGCAAATTGAATTTTATAAATGTAAGCCATTGGATTTTAACTCCAGTAGTTTGTAAATAAATTTGTCATCATGAGACTCAGTTATTCTAGGCTCGAACTCTAACGAAGTTTTCGGTTTGCACTGCTGAAGAACCCTATGGCTAGGACAAAACAGTTGTCGTTGTGTAATTAAAATCAGCCTATGATGTAAACTACAAATTTAAGCAATCACTACAACCCCCCTATACTAGTTTATTCATAGTTTTAGTGATTATGGACAAAGAAGAATACATCAAACAAGCCAAGGAACTACTCGAGGATAAAAGCATATACAAACCTATGGACATAAATCCAGTCAAAAAGGTAGACAACCGAATTTCAAAGACTTTAAACAAACTCATCGAAACAGGATAAATAACAAAGCAAGATCAATATAGAATGAAATCCAATGGACCAGTGATCTCTCGATTCTACGGCAGGCCGAAGATACACAAACCAAACATCCCACTATGTCCAATCGTAGCACTACCCGGAACGATAACGTATAATTTGTCAAGGGAAATTTCACGAATATTGGAACACTTAGTGAATTCGTCGAATTATTTCATCAAGTCCGTCACACGATTCCTTGATCAGATTAAGAACATTCAAATCACCGACGACGAGCTAATGATATCCTTTGATGCAACAGCGCTATTTACCTCAATTGAACCCAATTTAGCAAAAGGAACTCTATGTTTTCTTCTCACCAGCGACGGAAATCTCGCAAAGTACACGAAGCTCCAAAGTCTAATAGAACTCATCGATTTATGCCTAATGACATATTTTCAGTTCAAAAACAAAATCTACGAACAAACAAAAGGGACACCAATGGGATCACCAATATCAGGACTTATTGCAGAAACAGTGTTGCAGAGACTAGAAACCTCGATCTTGCCAGTGATCAAGCAAAATTTTGAATTCATTATGTAGACGACACATTCGTCATCGTCAAAAAGGATGAACTGGAAAACACCTACAGGCTGATCAACAACGTCTTCAATGACATCAAGTTCACCATGGAACAGTAGTCAAACGACAAGCTATCATTCTTGGATATATTAATGACCAAAACCGACACAGGTAAACTGAAGACTCAAGTGTACAGGAAGCCGACCCACACTGATCAAATTCTCAACGCAAGAGCTCACAAAATCAGCTGCGTACAAACATTGTTCAAAAGAGCGAGAACACATTGCAACACAATTACAGCACGAAAAAATGAAGAAAAATACTTGATGATTATCCTTCAAAAGAACGGCTACCCAGTCAACTTCATCAAAAAATACCAGCCGCACCCATCATCAGAAAGAAAGTGAAGTACAGAAATCAACAAAAGGATCACCCTACCATATATAAAAGGTATAACAGAAACGACAACAAGACTGTTGAAAACCTTCGGAGTAGGTGTTGCTCACAAACCAACAAAATCCCTCTATTCAATCCTATGCAAACCAAAGGATGAAATGACAAAAGATGACAAACCAAACATCATCTGCAAAATAAATTATGCCAACTGCGAAGAACACTACATCGGACAAAGCGGATGCATTAACATCAATTAGCAGTCAGACGCCATGACATGTCTTCACTTATATCAATGCATTTGGACAACTGCGGATACACATTCGATTGGAAAAATGTGGAGATTTCGGATAGAGTCAATTCCAAAAGCACCAGAAAAGTTTTAGAAGCTTGGCACTCAGGTCAATCAGTAATGAACAAGCACATTGAAATCAATTTAAGTTATCAACCAATCAATCAGGAAAATAATGCACAAACATAGGAACAAAAAATCAAACCGATGGGAGATACAACCGAAAACAAAGAAATAAACAATAACAGATTTAAGGTCAACAAGAACCAATCAATATCGAGATGTACAGAACAAGCTGTGAATCACAAGTGGAGAAATTCGAATACTTCACTTCTACTCGAAGTTTGTTCTGATGATATCGTTCACAATAACAATGGAAGCTCCACTATCAGACCATCCAGCTCAGAGAACTAAACTCCATCAAAACCATCCACCGGAGCTACATATCTTCACCATCTCAAAGTAGTGTTTAATTCGAGAAATATGCGAGAATGAATGCTAATGTATCATTCTTAGGGACGTTTGGTAGTTCACTACTTGGCAAATCTCCATATCGCTGAAAATACTTAAAATCTTTTCAAGGAAAATCTAATTATCAGAAAGGGTTTTGTTGAGATTTTAGTAATTTTATAGAGTTAAGATCATGAGTCAATTGAAGCTAGACCACCATGGAAAACCTGGAAGCACTGGACAGCCGTTTCATCCTATTATGTGACTCCTCAGCAGTGCGCGTCCACGATCCCGCACTCGCGATATTCGAACCCAATACTTACCAGTCTCGCGCCGGAGCACTTAAACGATAGACCGCTGAGCCATGGATGCGCACTGCTGAGGAATTTCACAATGTGTCGAAACGGCCGTCCAGTGCTTCCGGGTTTTCCATGGTCGTCTCACTTTAATTGACTCATGATTTCAACTATGAAAATACTAAATTCTCCACAAAACCCCTTCTGATTCCAAATCAGTCTAAATGGAAATAAACATAATAATACAATCAATGATTATTCATTTCTTTTCATCATTAATCCTTATCATCAACCCAGTTACAGAAAGTTAGAAATAAAAAGAAGAATGTACCTATGTGTGTACATTTCCATCATTTAACGTGTGTTTCTCTCCTGATTGATTTGTTTAATTTCTTCTCTCTTTTTTTTAATGAGATCAATCAATAATAAAATATACAATATCAGCTATTATCATCATTATCATATCTGATCGATGGTACATGTTTAAACTGTCTGAAATCATCTTCATAAGAATAATAAGGATAGAAAAGTATGAACCGACATGTTAGTAAAGATAAAAACTTAAAGAATGAGGTTTATTGTTATGTCAGTATTCTGAGGAAACAAATGGTGTACGAATCAATCATTGATCACCAGCTACCATTTATTTATTTATTTATTTATTTAAACACATATATATTGGTACAAAAGGGCACCAGGTACATATGCGCCACACAAAATAATGAAAGTAGGTAGATAAAGGATGAAAAGATAAGGCGGGCTGAAATGTACAACCAGAAGATTCTTTCAGTTAGGAAAGTTAGAACCATTCTTTATGTAGAAAGTAAAAGAAGGTTGCAGCAGGATCGCCACTGGCTTCTATTCTGAGCCATATCCAATAACGTCTCTAGCCACTGTGTTGCACTATCTCTCGGACCCCAACCAGGGAGTCGTGAAGGACCAACGGAAGCTAGCCCTTTGCAGCTCTCTTTCATGCCACGACACCATGTCATACACTGACCTCCTCTCCGCTTTCTCCAACCAGTCCCAGGGTCGGCAAATAATGCACGACGCGGAAGTCTCTGGGACGACATTCGTAAAACATGTCCGAGCCACCGAAGTCGGTGTTTCAAGATGGTGACACCAATTGAATTATCGTCTCTGCGCCCGAACACACGATGCCGAACCTCTGCATTACTAACATGGTGTTGCCACTGGATGTCAGCAATCCTTCGGAGACAACGATGATCGAACACAGAGAGACGTCTAACATCCTCAACTCGGAGAGGCCAGGTTTCACAAGCATAGAGCAAAACTGCTCTCACCGACGCGTTGTAGATCCGACCTTTTACAGCCAGACTAACATCACGAAGGCGCCAAAGATGGCCCAGATTGGCATAAGCCGCTCTGGCTTTCATTAAACGTGCATCAATCTCATCACTCACGCCACCACCAGCACTTATATAGCTACCTAGATACACGAACTTCTCAACTACTTCGATCTCCTCACCATCCAGGGTGAGTACAGGATGAGAATCCTGCCAGTCTTGTAGAAGTACTTTGCACTTGGAGGGTGCAAAGCACATGCCGTACCTGCGGACACTGATTGCCAACTGATTAAGTGCTGATTGCATGCCTTGGGCATTATCGCACAGTAAGACAATATCATCCGCATACTCAAGGTCGAGAAGTCGTTCTCCAGTCAACATATCCACACCGCCATTACTTACATCCATCAGAGCTGTTTCTAGGATGTCGTCGATGGCAAAGTTGAAGAGGAATGGGGAGATCGGGCAACCCTGCCTAACCCCACTGCTCGAATGGAACAAGGGAGAAAGGTGGTTGTATGCCCTCACTCTGCCTGAGGTGTTCGTATACAGGGCTTTTAAGATGTTAATGAACTTCTCAGGCACACCATTCTTCAATAGACAATCCCAGAGAACAGTCCTGTCCAACGAATCGAAGGCCGCCCTGATATCAAGAAACACTACGATTGTTGGCCTGCGATAAGTATGACGGTGTTCTAACATTTGGCGGAGGGTGAAGATGTGATCAATGCATCCTCGACCAGAACGAAAACCAGCCTGCTCCTCGCGAGTCAATCGTTCTCGGGTTTTAAACAACCTACGAAGAATGATAGAAGCCAATAGTTTGGACGCGATCGAAAGTAGACTTATCCCCCGATAGTTGCTACAGGAACAACGTGAACCCTTTTTAAAGATAGGGACGACTATTGACTCATTCCAAAATGTTGGGACACTTTCTTGCTCCCAAACCTTTCCAAACAACGCAGTCAGTTCCTTAGCCAGAAAGTCACCACCATCTTTAAAAAGAGCCGGAGGTAAGTCATCTGGGCCAGGTGATTTATAACGTTTCAAGAGTTGGAGTTCCTTGCGGACTTCCGCCTCGTTTGGTGGATCAGTCGTCACCGGCCATGGGGAGCAGGACAAGCTGGTTGATGTTGCCGGAGCAGCAGGCCAGTTGAACTGCCCTTCGAAAAATTCCGCCCATCGTCCAAGACGTCGACAGATGTTAGTGATTGGCATCCCGTCATCCTCGTAGATTGTTTCACTCACACCAGACTTCTTGCTGCCAGTGGCTCGGATGAGTTGGAAGAGCTTCCGGCAGTTACCAGATGCAGCTGCTGCTTCCATCTCATTAGCACGCTCCGACCACCAGGCTTCCCGGTCCTTACACAAGCTTTGCCCGATTTCATTACGTAACAGCCTTCGTTTGTGGTCAAACTCACGGTCACCCGGAGTAGACCGACGGGCTTCCATCAGTTGTAAGGAGCCAGAAGAAACCCAGTGCTTGTAAGCGGGACGTTTCGCGAAGCCGCAAGCGGCTTTACTCGCCATTTTCATGGCGTCATGAAGATGCAACCAATGCTTACCTATACTTTTCGGTGGGGTGGTAGCTAGCCTAGAGGCTAGCTCCGCTCGATACTTACTTGCAACAGAAGTTGCAGCCAGTTTACTAATATCAATCCGTTGGTGGTGGTCAATCCTTCGGCCACTGAAAAGTAAGGTGAGATTGGCGCAGACCAGGGCATGATCAGACTCCAGATAGGTACTCCAAAAGGAGCGGCAGTCTTGTACACAACCACGCCAGCGGTAGCTGATCGCGATGTGATCAATCTGAGTCCAGGTTTGGGATGCAGAGGGAGGACGCCAGGTGGCACACCGGCGATGACTGTGCCGGAAGTTAGTGCTGGCCAGAAACAGGTTGTGGTCTGTGCACAGTTGCAGCAAACGGTCCCCGTTATCTGTCCTGCGACCAACAAGTCCCCATCGGCCACCTAGACGACTCTCTTCTGTGCCTAGACGCCCGACCTGTGCATTCAAGTCTCCGGCTAGTACTACAATATCTGTCGAACGCGCTTTCTGGAGAAGAACTGTTAACTGATGGTAAAACTCATCCTTGATTGCATCCGGGCTGCAATCTGTCGGGGCATAGGCGGAGATGACGAAAAGACACCGTTTCTCACGCCGATTTCTTCTCACTTTGATGGAACTTTCTAATCTAACAGCACATAACCGACTGTTAATGGGGATCCAATCGATTAGTGCTGCCTCAGCTCTAGCGCTTAGTGCGACACCAACGCCAGCAAGACCAGACGAAGATGCCACAGGGTCCCCGGATAAGCGCACGTGGAACAAGCTTTTCGAGGCGACAGATGGAGAGCGGATTTGTAGTACTTCACTAGAGTCTTGAATACGGGTCTCGGATAGACAACAAACGTCAACATTAAGACCTTCCAAAGACATAGCCAGCCCTATCTGTTGTCTGATCTGCATTAGTGTGCGAACGTTGAAGGAAGCCAGCTTGAACGGCGTACGTGGTTTCAGAAAGACTGCCTCAGTATTCATAATCGGTGGAAGCATTCACTTTCAACCAGACAGTGACTGGAGATCGTTTAGATAGGACAGATTTTCCACCAAGAGCGAGCTGCTGCATAAGTTGAAGAGTAAGGTTACACAAATTGGGGATAAAAGGGGGTGAATTAGCGATATGGTAAGTAATAATAATAATAATAATAATAATAATAATAATAATAATAATAATAATAATAATAATAAAGGTAATAATAATAATAATGTTAATTGTTTTGCTTTTAGTATGACCAGGGATATCGTCAATAAAGTTCATAATTTCATTCATTTGTTTGTGTGTGGGCTGTGATACTGCCCGGGTGCCCAAACCGAAGCAGGTACCAGCTACCATGGGACTGCATCTCCTCACGATGCTCCACTGCCTTGTGGACTAGACCTTAGGTCAAAGACTCCGGGTGTGGCCCCCTATGAAAACCACCTGCTTCAGTCTGGGCACCTGGACAGTATCACAGCCCTCACACAAATCGAATGAGATTTGTGAGGCGCATATTTATCTGGTACTTTTTTGTACCAATATTTATATGTTTAAATAAATAAATAAATTAATTATTGTTATGTTCCGATTAGGATAATGAATAGTAACTTTGGTATATCAATTGATTGATCACTGGGTGGTGATCAATGTTTTCATGCGTGTCAAGTCCTTCTTAGTGCTGATCGAATACTATCGATCAAGTTGCAATGTGGCCACTCAAGATTACAGGTACATCTTGCTGACAAGTGCCAAATAGCAGGGTATCCTGTTGACCACCTCCAACCACCATCTTATCTCAACATAGTGCATGCAGTGTCGAGCCACCTAGACTAGTGGTCACATTGCAACTTGATTGATGGCATTCGATCAGCACTAAGAAGGACTTGGCACACATGACATTAATCACTACCCAGTGATTAATCAATTGTGATTACGTCTCAGTCCTACAGGAGGAGGTCGGTCGCGGCCCGAATAGCTCAGTGGTAACGTATCTGACTGTGAAGCTGAGTGACACGGGATCTAATCTGTCAGGGAGCACCAGTTCCCTCAAGATTACAGGTACACCTTGCTGACGAGTGCCAAGTATCACGAAACTTGTGTCCATGGTATCCTGTTGACCACCTCCAACCACCATCTCAACTTTGGAATTCATTTATGAACGAATACTATGCGTATATATTTTATCGTATAATTGTTAGCTAACTAAATTATTCATATTGATGTTCCCCTTATTATAAGCTTTATTTTGACTTAAGAACTATTATTATACGATTTACCATTCTTGAATGATGCCCTGTCTATTAATTACTGTTCCCCTTACTCACAGCCACACTTGGCTAAATCTTGTACAAATGTTGTTTCCCTATTTTATGGTACGATGTGTATACTTGAAATAAACAATTCATACCTCAGAGGCTGTTCTGGACTTAACTGGCTTGGCTAGGAATAAAGCAGGACCAACAATTACTCTAGACTGTTCGTACGGGTTTCGTGTATCATTGGTCCGATCGATAATTCGCTGCTCTCTGATTGGCATTAACAGGGCATCCAACTCGGCCATAAGTTATAACAGTTTTAGAGTAATTTTATAAAATAGGCAAGGATTTATCTTTCGCATTAAGCAACAAATATACATATATAGGATGTTGTCAGTCGCAACTTATCAATACATATCATAATTTTTGTTTCGTAGTATGTAAAAGTACAGTGTTTTGGGAAAATGTACAATTGACGACTGGAAAACAATCGTCTAAATGCAACGAAGAAAGTTGAAGTAATTGACTATAGTATACTTTTGAAGCTTCGTCTCTGATTATAATGAAACTACCAAATGAGTAATGTCGGCAATATTCGGCATTATGGTGACCGTGGATTCTAATCGACTGAAATCCCTGGGATCTATTTTACGTATTGTAAACTGACATTCAACCGTTTATGTCCTACTGACTATCAAGTTATTGGTTGATGGATTGAAACTTATAATAAAGTGAGAATTTCATGGTTGAGATCCGCTGGGGACTCCCCCTTGTTGTGTCGATATGTGTGGGTTCCGATATTCTAGAGGTCGATGCTGAATTATTTACCGAATCCTGCATTGTTGATGGGTGGAGTCATATATAGTTTCACATACACGACTACTACGAAAATCCTTCATAAATTCTTGTACACGAAACAGCTGTCATTCAATGATGTTATATCATGAATGGATAAAAAAATAACCACTTGGTCACGATAAAACACTAAAAATGGACTGTTTACTGTATGACTTAAAGATCTCAAATTGGATCTGTGGTTGTATCATAAATATTTGGTTTAAAAGTTCCATAATAAGATTAAACAACTATTCAGTGTCCCTTCGTATTCAATGGGATCGGATGCAGATGTAACGGCGAGGATTGGCATAGCAAGAGCAGCATTTCTACAAGAACTTATGGAACTCAAAACAACTGTCAACTAACTTCAAAGTGAGAATCTTCAATACGAGCGTCAAGACAGTCCTACTGTACGGAGCTGAAACTTGGAGAACTACTACAAACATCATCAAGAAGGTACAAGTATTAATAAACAGTTGTTTACGCAAAATACTCAACATTCACTGGCCGGATATTATCAGCAAAAGCGTTTTTATGGGAAAGGACAAACCAGCTTCCAGCTAACGAGGAAATTATGAAAAGACATTGGAAGTGGATCGGACATACATTACGGAAATCACCAAACTGCATCACGAGGCAATCGCTAACTTGGAATCCGGAAGGGAAGCGGAAAAGAGGAAGGCCAAAGAACACATCACGCCGGGAAATAGAAGCAGATATGAAAAGGATGAATGTTAACTGGAAATGATTGCCCAGGACAAAGTTGTATGGAGAATACTGGTGGGCGGTCTATGCTCCTCGACAAGGGGTAACAGGCGTAAGTAAGTCGTATTCACTGATATTCTTAACTGATTTCATTCTATGACAAGTCCCATCTACAAATCATCCAATTGATTTTTTTCCTTAGTCTTATGCTTCGTACATTTCCACAATCGATCCAATTTCTAACTTTTACAATATTATTGTTTTAATTTTTTAGAACCTACATTGGTGATCCGATTTATCCATTACCAGATGAAACATCTGAGGAATTAGCTAGACGTGTAAGTATTCATTATACTAAATATTCATTCACTAAATATCTCTAAACATTAGTCACTTCATAAATTAATCCTGAGTCTTGATTCGGCAACCCGCAGCTTCCTTCCAACCTACTCCTACACTAGCCAGTATTGTGATTTGATATAAACAGTATTTCAGCATATGTGATACCTGTTCTAACCATCTCAATCAATGAATACTCACTACTTGACCAACCGATTTAATATTATTACAGTAGTACCCTGCGTCTAACCTTAGGGTCACTCATTCGGAAGAAGTGACCTACTCACTTGATGGTTCGAACATACGCGAGCAGAGCTTCGGAGTCACCTATGATCGAATACTAGTAACCCACGAATATCTATTTCTAAAAGACATATTGCTCCCATAAACTAGAACAAAGCAAGCTGCTAGATAGTGCACTATTCCTTTGGTTGGCAGATGTATGTCTCACCTACATCACAAGTGACGTACGTTGGCAAAAGCTAATCGAGATCTTGTCAAACACATAACCACCAGGGTTGATAGGATTTCCAAGATAAGTAAAGTTGTCTACATGCTCGACTACTACTCCACTCCCTATAATCAGTCTAGGTGGATGTAGATGTAGACCAGTCATAAGGCAACAATCTACATTTAGAGGGAGTGTCTTTATTTTCAGAATGTATTCTTTCTTGTAAACTAGGATAGTCAGCGATGAAGACCAGTTAGTTGGGATTTTGCCCAGTTCCCAGATTCTATCTCAGTCAGTCTAACTGTTAGAACTAGACCACCATCCTTGAAGATCTCTGGAGGTAATACATCAAGGCCTGCTGCTCTCTATCTCCTTATGTGTTCTCTGGTTTTTCAATTCCATTAGGAGCTGTCGATATCCTATTTAGGTTGATGGTAATAATAAGGAACTGGAGGGTTTTAGGAGACTGGTCAAACTGTTTTTTAAAGAGTTCCGCCCATCATTCCAAACTTTCTGATCTGACATTGGGTCACTGTTTCATCCTTTATCGAAACAATCCCACTAACACGTGGATTTGCACTATCTGTTTCTTTGATAAGTTGTCTTTTATTGCCTATTGCCATTACCTTTTGCTTTCGCCGCCTATTATTTTTTCACAGCAATTATGGTATAAAAGGAATGATCATAATCGAAGATGGAAAAGTATACACTGATAATAAGGTTTGTATGTAGACTAGTTTTAGTGGGCGGTTACCCAATACCATGAGGGGATAATACTTCGCGAGGGACTTGAAAAAGAAATCAATGTAGGCCGTTATCTTGACAACTTGAAAGTGTGATCACACATACCCCAAAGGATAACTGCTTGGGACTTGCGACATCTATTTTCAAACGATTTTTGCCTGGATTACTTGCTTACTTACATATGCCTGTTGACCCTCGTGAAGGAACATAGGCCGATCACCGGCATTCTCCATCCAACTCTGTCTTGAGCAAACCTCGTCCAGTTGCTATTAATTCTTTTGATGTCTGATTCCAATTCCCGACGCAATGTGTTCTTTGGTTTTCGTCTTTTCCCTTTCCCTTTAGGATTCCAAGCTGGCGCTTGCCTTGCGATGCAGTTTGATGGTTTCCGTAATGTAATGCCCTATCCGCTTCCATCATCTTTCCTTAATTTTCTCTTCAGCTCGAAGCTGGTTTGTTCTCTCCCACAGTAGGCTATTGCTGATGGTATCCGGTCAACAGATCTAAAGTATCTTGCGTAGACAATTGTTTGTAAACACTTATGCATTTTTGATGATGGTTGTAGTATTTTTCCAAGTTTCAGCTCCGTACAGTGAAAGTAACTGACTTGGCGTTTGTACTGAAGATTGTGACTTTGACATTGGTCGACAGTTGTTTTGAGTTCCATATGTTCTTCAATTGTAGGAATGGGGCATTCACTTTGCCAATTCTTGCCTTTACACATGCATCAGATCCTCCTTGTTAATCGATGATGCTATTCAGGTACGTGAAAGTTCTCACCTCTTCCAGAGTTTCTCCATCAAGTGTTATTGGGTTGTTGTCCTCCGTGTTTTATTTCAGGATGTTGCTTTTCCCTTTGTTTATGTTAAGGGCTACTGATGCAGAGCCTGCTGTTACACTGGCTATCTTCACCTACAATTGTTGACGTGCATGGGACAGAAGAGACAGTTCATCTGCGAAATCCTAATCGTCCAGTTGTATCCAAGCTGTTCATTGTATTCCGTGCCTCCCCTGAGATGTCGAAGTGTTCATAATCCAGTCGAAGATGGTTTCATAAGGTTTTTCTATCTACACTGTCAAATGCTTTCTCATAGTCAAGGTAATTCATGTATAGTGATGAATTCTACTCGGTCGATTGCTCATCAACGATCCGTTCTGTCACGATTTGACCTGTGCACGACTGATCCTCACGGAATTCAGCCTATTGATCTCAAAGTTGGGCATCTACTGAATCCTTTATTCTGTTCAGCAACACTGTTGAAAACGTTTCCTGATATCGAAAATAATCTGATGCATTTGTAGCTGAGTTTTCACATTTACTCAGACCTCTTTTCTTTGGTATCTTGATGAGGTATCCTTCTTTCCAGTCTGTCGGCACTTGTTTCTTCCCCCCCCCAAACCTTCCTGAATAGACCATGGAGCATGTTTACAGTTACCTCTATGTCTGACCTCAGGGCTTCACCTGACATTTTGTCCTAGATAGGGGATAAAAAATTTTAAATTTATTTTTTCATTCTTCTCATTTTTTCTTCCCAAATTAGGTTCGTATATCCATTGAAGAACTTATCAACAGGCATCAATTGATACCGGCAAATCTTTTTTGTGCTATTATGCAACGATTCCCTATATTCGACCGGTGGTTAACAAAATATAAACTTAAACGATTTCATCATCATTATCATCAACATCAAAGACAAACATGAATATCAGTGTTCAAGGCTTTGTTCGGCAAGTTTTTTTTTGTTTTGACTTTGATTTCAAAACAAAACTGATTCACAATGTACAAATAAATTTTTGTATTCGGGGAAATATATTTTAGTATTTCCATGAATAGAGTTGAACCAATTTCTCCAGAATATGTTGAGTTACATTGATGGAGATGAGGTTACTTGTCGAATAGAGCCCCGGAATAACTTTTTATCCCATTTAAGTCGATACGGTATGCTGGCTGTGGAAATAGGATGAATGAAGATTAGAGACATCACGACATCAGTTTATACAGCTATTGATTATCGAACTGAATCTATGATTATGTGAAATATGATTACAAGAGTTGGAGTGGGGCCCTAAAATTAGACATGGGATCAACTTGTGAAGTTACTGGCAGTTGATTTGAACCATGTCTGTCTAGTTGCAACCTTTGTATTAACCGCGAACGGTGGTTTGAAGCGTAAAGCTATGTGATGACTTAGGATAGGTTGCAACAGAGTACATGTGTTCACTCCGTGTTTCTCTCAAGATTTTGAGTTTTTAATCCCATAAACTCATTCATTCTCCGAAAATCATAATCTCTATGTCTAATCTTTATTACTCGAGCCAATATTACTAGTTTGAGTATTCATCTTGCTAGCCCTTTCTCGCTGTCTTAATGTGAGATGTGGTAGCCTGGGCACCACCAATTGCATTTTTTAAAATACAATCAAATGGGGGGGGAAAACAGGTCTACAAACCAATAAACAACACGAGTTATAAGTGCTACGTTATTAAAAAGATAAATTGTTCAAAAGTGAAGTTCTGGAAAGTAGCACACACGGGGAAAACAAACAAGGATGGACATTGAAATAAAGATAGTAAGCATATTGGATAAGTGAACATCATTCAAAGCAATGCAGAAATATGTGAGTACACATTGAACCACTACTGAATGGTAACTAGTACAATCCAGCCAAGAATGCATGTAAAGAACATACGTGGCTACTGATAATAAACATTTTAAAGTATCTCTTTTGTAAAGTTGCACTTCATCCCTTAGTTTAGACTTATTTGCTTTCGTAGGTTCCGACCATTGGTTGAAGTCTTTCCCATTCTATTTAAACTAGACTGACAATTTATTTTTCTTTCAAATATGGAAATCGTCCTAATTCGAGTTATTTCGTTGCTGATATTCTTGACGGAATTTTGATTTGTCTAAGCTGGCATATGTGCAACCTTTAGGCATTGTTTCGATATGGCCATTATGTCACAAGTTTTAGAGAAGAGATGATTCCCGAAATAAAGTCTGGGATCTATATGACGAAACACGAGTCCTGGATCCTATTTGTAGCCACATTCCTTGCCTTCTATGAAAACTGTTACAAGGCCGTCCTATGACTAACTGTAGGTCTGAGTATCCGCACAGGATCAGATAACCGTGTGTGTCTTGTAAATCTGGATGGAGTCAGAATCATTACATTTAGATATTCTGAGTGAGCACGTCGGCAGGCACACTTAATTATCATTGCCCCCTATTATTCTTAGACGAATGGAGGAGTAATTATATCAAGGTCAATGTGTCTATCTGGTAGGTCTAAAGTTATTGGCGGAAACACATATGAAGTCTCAGTTCTATTGATTCTATGTGATCGAGGTATGGAACAAGTTCTACATCTTAATCGACGCGGCTGAGCAAGAACACGTAAATATCATGATAGATTTAAATGATGCTCGCGGTTTATATATGAATGACACTTTTCATTAGCTAAAATCGTGGAAGAATTTTTCACGTCTAAAAACAAACTGAATTAGTGTTGGTATTTCTATTAGTATAGAAGTGTAACTACGGAGTTCATAGTATTACCGGCAACCACTATTTACTTTATGTATATTCACATAGAAGATACCTCTAACGAGTATTCAAAATGTCTCAAATTAATGGGTAAACATATAGAATTTAAAAATACGCAAAATGTTTGCCAATTCTACGGCTGGCTGTAAATGATCAGGAAAGCTTCGTTCATATGTTCTTAAAAAAACGTATAATAACATTAAGGTGTTTGTGATGGATTAGATACTACAGACTATTGTGGCATACAAATACTTACACAGAACAATAATATTCATATGCATGGTAAGCAGAGATGGATTGTGGCTAGCAGTGGAATCCAGGACGCGCGTTTCGTCCTATTTGGGACTCGTCAGCTGGATGTACCTGCATCTCAGAGTTGATGTTCACTCTGGGACATATGCCAATAAGAGACTGACCAGTTGCAGTCCTAAACACATCGATGGGAAGATCCAAACAAACAATACTAAGTGAATTCAATATATTCATATGTTTGTTTACCAGCTCTTTGTTACATAATTACACTTTGTTGATGTATCAGAGAATTTGCATAGACTAAAGAATATATTCGCCTGTAAAACTAAATTTCTTTTCCGACAAAGCAGTTTATTTATTTATTCTTTCCCTTTTTCTGGGGCAGATTCAGTTTTTCTTTCTTTTTGAACCAACAATAATTATGCAATGATTCTTTGTAGCAATCTAAATCATTTATGGGTATAAGTAGAGTGGTTGATTAAACCGATCTCCACCACACGTATTTTATTTATTTATTTAAACACATAAATATTGGTACAAAGGGGCACCAGATATATATGCGCTGCACAAATCTCATTTGATTTGTATGAGGGCTGTGATACTGTCCAGGTGCCCAAACTGAAGCAGGTGGTTTTCTTAGGGGGCCACACCCCGAGCCTTCGACCTAAAGGTCTGATCCACAAGGCAGTAGAGCATCGTGAGGAGATGCAGTACCATGGTAGTCGGTGAACAACAATTGGTTCATACACCATTTGTTCCCTCAGGATACTGGAGCCCATGTGCACCATTGGTTTGGAATCAGGGTTTTTCAACACCCCTAGGTGGACTCGCCGTGTCCACCCACCCGGTTGTAGTGCCGGGCATTCGCTTTTCGTCCTCTCAATTTTGTAAACAACACCCGTAGTGCGAGAAGTCAGTGAGTAGGACTTCCTTGGTAGAGACTGTATAAGCGTGGTCGTGTGAGAGCATTTTGAGAGAGAGGGCGGCCCTCCCTACTCTCGGCCGTACCAGGGCATTTGGGGGCTATACGTACACACCAAGCTCTTTCGAGGCCCACCTCCGAAAATTATCTTGCACTGTTATCTAAACGATTCCAAAAGTCAGTAAAAAGCTCAATTCTGGAACATCTAAATAATTCTAGACACTGCTTCATCAGAATCCTTTCTGAGCTGGATGATTTGGTCGTGGTTTAATCGTCAAAATCATCCATTTGAGCTAGAAAATCTTCACCATCACAAATTTTGTTTTAACTTTTAAATTTATCAAAGAGGTACCAACTAGCATGCATTCAGATAACTCAATATGTATGTGGAGTGTTTTTAATCCCAAAATCTCTTAACATCTAGATTGTTATATCCTGGTGAAGACATAAGTATGGGTAACTCCCAGGACCTATTAATGGACGATTACTCTAAATATATTCTTATTGTTTAACTATTGAGTAATTTAGATTGTGTATATCTATATTCATCTTATTATAAGCTTCATTTTGATCTATGAATTACTACTGTACGATTTACTGTCCTTAAATTATATTGAGTTTATTGATTATTGTCTTCCATGTTCACAGTCACATTTGACTTGATCTTGTACAAATATTATTTTCTATTCTATGGCTTGATGTGGTCTGTCTGTCTGGTATATATACCGAATATGCTTGAAATAAACGATTCGCATAACAGCAGCTGCTATTGGTGTTCTGGACTCAAGTGGAAGGGATAGGCGGATAAAGGACCAATAAGGACGCTAGACTGCTCATACCGGTCGAACGTCATTGATTTGGCACAATGTTAAGATTAGACGAGTCGTATTCTGATTGATAGATAAATCACGTAATAAAGAGCGGACATAAGATCATAACGAATTAGCAGTACGGCCTTCTTTTTTAAAGTCATAACATAGGTTTTAACTTTTTAGAGAGAAAGAGAGATTTTATTGACATAATGCATTTCTGTACTCACTGACTAATAAGTGATGCATAAATTACACATCAGCGGAGGAAGAAGAGCTGGAAGTGGATAGGACACACACTAGGGAATTCACCCAACTGCGTCACAAGACAAGCCCTTATATGGAATCCTGAAGGTCAAAGGAGAAGTGGTAGACCAAAGAACACATTACACCGAGAAATGGAGACAGACATGAGAAGAATGAATCAAAACTGGATAGAACTAGAAAGGAAGGTTCAAGACAGAGTGGGTTGAAGAGAATGCTGGTCGGCGGCCTATGCTTCATTGGGAGTAACAGGCGTAAGTAAGTCAGTAAATTACACATTCTTTTTCAACATCTTTAACAATCATGAAAAATGAAACATTAAATTTACAGATTAAATATTTACAATATTGACTATTTTCTTAGTTTACGTTGTTGTTTTTCTAATTTTCTTGCTTTTTCTGCATTAAATTGTTCACGTTTTTCACCTTCTTTAGTATACCATAAAAATCGATCTTCAATTGGTTTACGTAAACTATTTAATTGACGTTCTTTAATTACTTCATTAAATAATTCCTTCATTAAATGTTCAGCTTCTTTCTGTTTAGTTTCTGGATTATTGGAATCTACTAGCAAAGTTAAATCTCCTAATAAATTTGTTAATGTTTTATTTTTTTCAATATAAAATTCTTGTTCAGATGATATAAGTTTTGCTTTGAATACAGTCATTTTAGTAATACGTCGCTATAAATAAATAAAGAAACAAAAAAACAGATAGTATGTACTACTGAAGGTATGATTAAAAACTAACATGAGATAGGAATAAAAGACATTCGTAGAACATGTCTAAGCCACTGAAGTTGATGTTTCAAGATAGTGACACAAATTAAATTATCGTCGCTGTGCCCGGACACACGATGCCGAACCTCCGAGTTGCTAACATGGTGTTGCCACTGGATGTCAACAATCCTTCGAAGACAACGATGATCAAACACAGAGAGTCATCTAACATCCCCAACTCGGAGGCCAGGTTTCACAAGCATAGAGCGAAATCGCTTTCACCGACGCGCTGTAAATCCGACCATTCACATCTAGACTAAAACCACGAAGGCGCCAAAGATGGCCCACATTGGCATAAGCTGCTCTGGCTTTCATTATACGCTAATTGATCTTATCACTCACGCCACTACCAGCACTTAATCAGCTACCCAGGTACAGGAACTTCTCGAGAACTTCTATCTGCTCACTACCCAGGGTGAGTGCAGGATCACGGTCATGCAAGTCTTGTAAAAGAATTTTCCTCTTCGAAAGTGCAAAGCACATACCATACCTACGGACACTAATTGCCAACTGATTAAATAAGGATTGCATGGCTTCAATATTATCGCATAGTAAGACAATATCATCCGCATACTCAAGGTCGAGAGTTCTTTCTCTAGGCAACAGACCCACACCGCTATTATTTACATTTGCCAGAGCTGTTTCCATAACGTCATCGATAGCGAAATTGAAGAGGAATGGTGATATTGGGCAACCCTGTCTAACCGCACTGCTTAAATGGAACAATGGAGAAAGGTGGTTGTGTGCCCTCACTCTGCCTGAGGTTTGAATGCAATCAGAAGTAGATTTATCCCCCGATAGTTGTTACAAAAACGACGTGAACCCTTTTCAAATATAGGGACATTTGTCGACTCATTCCATGATGTTGGAACACTCTCTAGCTCTCAGACCTTTGTAAACAACGTAGTCAGTTCCTTAACCAGAAAGTCACCACCGTCTTTAAACAGAGCCTGAAGTAAGTCATCTGGGCCCGGTGATTTGTAACGTTTCAAAAGTAGAAGTTCCTTACGGACTTCCGCCTTATTTGCTGGATCAGTCATCACAGGATATTGAGGGTAGGTCAATCTGATCAATGTTGCCGGAGCAGCAGGCCAGTTGGATTGCCCTTCAAAGAATTCTGCCCATCGTCCAAGACGTTGATAGATGTTAGTGATTGGCATCCCGTCATCCTCACAAATTGTTTCGCTCACACTAGACTTTTTGCTGCAAGTGGGTCGGATGATATGAAAGAGCTTCCGGCAGTTACTAGATGCAGCTGCTGCTTACGACTCATTAGCACGCCCCGACCACCATGTTTCTCGGTCCTTACGCAAGCTTTGTTCAATTTCATTATGTAACGGACATCTATTGTGGTTAGGATATAAATGGACTGAGCCTATGGATCTAGGTACAATGCTCGTTCACTAGACCTTATTTTTTTACGAAATTTGAGTTTCTTCTAGTGATATGGCCAAAAACCGTCGATTATAATATCCGAATGCAAATTCGTTATGTTGATTCAGCATTACATGTATGTGTGTAATAATTGTTGATTTTTCCGCAAAAAGTAGGTTACGATGATGCTTGAAACAGCACTATGATGGCCTAAACAATGAGGTGAAACTGAAAAGTCATAGTCAAAACATAAGTATACTGAGAACCACACGTCAAACACATGTGTCTATGTTTATGGGAAGCACTTCAAATTTGCTAAACTGCTGTTTATTATAGAATTCTATTCAATGCCAAGGATATTTTGTGATGGATATCTAAGTTAGTTTAAGGGTATAGGCTCGTTTAACAATTTTATGTAAAATCAAACTAACGGTTTAATAAATGTTTAATTAATTTGAAAAACTTACTTGATAACATTCATTCCGAAAAGAAATTTTACGTTGAACAATCGGATCATCGGTACATAATCGATAAGGATCCACATGTTCATAACGAACAATTTTCAAAGCAGATGTAATTCTATTAAATTCAGATAGATTTGTAGCACGTAACAATCTCAAACTACGTTGTCGAGCTCTTATAAGACATTTAGTTGCAAGTTTTAACGTGATACACTGTAAGCATAAAGTAAATACAATTAACAAAAATAAAAACCATCACTAGAATCTTACACGTGGATGTTCTTTTAAACGCCACTTTTTGTAACGTAATTCTAATGTCATTCGAACAACTTTTTTAAATAGAGATTGAATAGAAAGTAATAACTATGTATGTATCATTACTTTTTGCAGCTAATGAATCATCTGTAGGTTGAAAACCTAATTTTTCTAACATTTCGGCAACATTTTCTTCAAATTCTTGTCTCTATAAAAGGGTATTAATATGAAATTAGTCAAAATGGAGAAAATACTATTTACTTTATAAACAAAACTATAAGTAAACAAGTTTTTGCAGCGTTCATCTAAACTTTAATCAAAATGTATCGATAAAGAAAAGTGCTAAACGGATGGAAAACCTTTGAAAATCTTTTGAACACTTGAGAGGTAGAAGATATTCATTTTTAGCTTTTGGCTTGTATGGTTCATTTTCCCCTTTTTTTAAAATAACAAACTAATAAGAATTAATAAAAAATGACTTACAATCTTTGTCATAAAGAAATGGATTTTTAGGTGGGGTAAGAACACGAGGTGCACGTAAATAACGTAAGTACCATCGATTCAGAGACGAGGAACTACCTAAACAAAAATATTATATATATAAGAAAACCAGACGGCAAAACTCACAAATATCTTTTGTACATTCTGAAGAATTGAGTAAACTTTGAATAGTTGGAGATTTCAACAGAAAACTGGTTGACTTTAACATGACGATCGTTTTTTAACACATTTGAATAGATCGAATTCTGAAAATGAACCAACTGTTTTATGATAAATTTTCTATACAAGTGGAAATAATTCCTAATTTACGGAAATCAAGTACAAATTTAACCATTGCAAGTATCTTGGTTCCATGAATTTGGGACTATATAAGATACAAGTGTAGTAGACACTGAACAATGACTTAACAGGTTTTATCAAAATTTTATCCAGATGCCATTATGCAACAATCTTTCAAGATTTTGTCCGTTTCTAGTAATCATAGGGATATGTAAACTGTAAGTGAACTAAGATTATTTTAAATAGTTGAAATAATTTCGAATAATAAGACAATTATTTCAGGAAAAAGTTTTTCTTCACTGAGTTCACCTTTATTAAGTACTTACGAATAATAGACTTGCAATGATCGTGTAATTTCCGTTTTATTTTTGAATGCAAGTAACCATACATAATCTTTTAAAACTTAGAAAAATGGCTTAGATGCTAAAAACCCTGGATCCCAATTTCTAGAAATCTCGTTATGTTTGTGAATTTCATTGAAATATTCAAAACATGATTAAATAAACACAATCTGGGATTTCATTTGTTTGAAGAGCGACTAGTGTTTCCTAGATTATATTGATAGAACTGATAGTTGTGCAATTTTTGAGATAGGTGGAATGCTAAGAAACAGTTTTTGGCCTACTATATTATATCTTCTTATTTTAAGGTACGCTAACCCAAAAGACAATAGCTAACGTTAAAGCTAAGTTATTCAGAAGAGCTAACAGAAAACTTTAAAATCACTAATTGGTGCTTGGATTTACGATCGGGAGTTATAGTTAACACCACATACTGATGTCAGCTATAATACAAAAATCTCAATTTACATATCCCTACTCCAAGTCTGAGCACAATGAGTGATGTACCGATTTTTGCTATCTCCCAACTAAATAGCAGATTAAAACCTCAATGTCGTTCGAAGGTACAAACTCAGTTTTGTACATTATAGGAATTCTGACGAATGAATCTAAATCATCTAGATACGTTCCTGTTCATTTAGCAGGACTCCATAGCACTGTGTTCATATAAAGCACCCTTCTAAACGTGACGATATTTAACAAAGATGAAGGTTAAATTCATTTAGTATTGTTTATTTGAATCTTCTCATCGATGAGTTAGGACTGCAATTGGTCAGTCTCCTTCTCTGCTTACCATAAAGATGAAGGTTAATTATTTGAGCATGATTTTGCTAAACTACTATGAACTTGCATGTGCTACATTGAGACAATTTAAGTGCACGAGCTGGGAGCATGTCTGAGTTCATATGTACTTAATAATTAGGGCGCACTGTTAGTGAATAACCTGCTACCCATAAATTTGTTTGCAAATCTTCGTAAACCACAAATGAACTATACTTCCAATGAAAAATTGAGACAGGAAACAGTCTATCCTTAAACTCCTTGTAAACTATGACGTTATTTCCGGCCTGAAAATGTCTTCACATATGTGTCGTTCTTTAACCTTGTCGATTGTGTATAATCGTTTGCTTTGAATAATGAAGTCAAATAAATGGCTAATTTAAAACCATATGAACAGAATGATGTGCGGACCTTATAAAACAGATGAAGGAGGTAGACAATTCGAGATGTATTTAGACAAAAAGAAGACAGTTCGTCGACACTTTAAACACAAGGCGAAAAAAGCGGGATTTCTGACTATTTTCTTACTGTAGCTGAGATGAGACTTTTTAACTCGTTTTCTTTTAATTTCCCCCTTATTTTCCCACTTAATTTCTTTTTCATTCCTACTTAGTCCCCCTTTATTTCACCCTCTTCGGTAGCATGAGTTATGACAGAAAATCGACCACAGCTAGAAAGTATCTTTTTCTAGAACATACGCGGAATTATTTACAATTAGAAGCTGAAAAGTTATGTTCAACAGAAAGATAATGAGTAAAAGTCAGGAATTTCCGAAACCTACAATACCAATGTGATGTAACAACTGTAGGCGTAAATACCGCCTTTTAACGACTCTTTCAATATCCATAATCCTGTGTAGAGTGATTGATCTATCTGTGCTCGCTTATTGTTGCCTCAGTACTCTTCCAGGCATTCGATTTTTTCTAACAAGTAATAGTCTAGTCACTCGATTGCATTATATATCATCATTTTAATAGTTATTTGTGCATTTGCATACGTGAGCATGTGATTGTCAAATCTCCTCCTAAGATTATCCGTCAATGTAGCTATGATCACTTCGGCTGGAAACGTATTTCAAGTGGGGTAACTCCTAATGAGAAAAAGTAGGAGCGTACATGGGTGTTCGCTTTCTGACGTGTAGACTTTCGACAGTTATCTCGAATCGGGTAGTCATGATTTTCTGCTAATATGCTCAGGTTCAGGTGGTTTGGCTGTTCCTTTAGTATAACCACTACAAACAAATATATTTGACTGAATTATTAAATGGATTTCTATGCGTTATTCGCCAATGGTGTGAAGTGTAGTGTTCGCTCAATAATGTTATGGCGGAAATGCTGCATTTTGTATAGTGACCTAAATAATATTGGAACATCTTTATAATCGTCAATCACAGGACTTGTCGAATAAAGCAGAAAAGTAAGCAACTTAGGTAATATTTATTTGAAAACAAATTAACGCAGCTATTACAGCTCATTTTCAGACAAAAAGCACATGGAATGTACCTATATTTACTAGGGGAAGCAATAGATAACTATCAGCAGTAACACAAGCCTCTGATTAAAAAAGTCTGTAACGGAATGAACACACTGAAAATCGTTCCAAAGTATTTTATTGAGTAGTACTGTTATTTCTTTTATTATTATTGTTATTATTATTACTCACAAACATCTCATGGGTGCATAAGTTTTGTGGGAAAACCATTTCGGGTTTCTTCAGGAACGCAATAGTATACAAGTTTCAATGTTATTACAATGTTTACCATATTTGAATAAAAAGAAAGGAAGGAAAAAGAAAACAATAATAATGATAATAGAATAATAGTAAATCAGGTTCTATGCAATTGAGAAGAATATTGAGTTGACTTTGAAGAAGGTAAAAAGAAAATAAGGGAATAGAAATGAAGGAAATGCGATATACGTGGGTAGTTTGACGGACACGTTTGTGAACACAGAACAATAGTAAATGACTATGTATGTATTGCCAAATGAATAGATTTTGCCTAGGCCTCTTGTTAACCACACTTTATGTTCTTCATTCTTCCTTGTCCAGGCTTTTGTTATTTGATCCTAATTAGAGATGTGTGTTTTATTAATTAGTTTACTGTTTCATATTGCCGGACTTTTGGCAATAAGGTCGTGTTTGACCAGACTCAAAGTCATGGAGTGGTTCTGTTATATCGTGTGCATGTCTGTTACGGGAGAACTGAAGACATTTGGCTGATTAAAAACTTTTTACTGTACATCAATTTTACTGTGTTTTTGGATGTTTGTTTTACTTAACCTTTGGACTTGTTTGTTTATTTCATTCTTTTCGGACATTTTGGTTTCTTTTGTCATTGGCTTGGTATTTGGGAGTTTTTGCTCCGGAAACCTACAAAACTGAAGGTTTGTTTTGTAATTGTTATAATAATTGTTGTTAGAACGACTTTGGTCGATTATTTGTGAATTGCGAATAAATTTGATATCTAATTTGGAGTTTTGGTTCCCTTGCCTACTTGGGTTCGTGATTTGCGAATATCGATGGCCAGTACTTCAATAGTTGTAACAGGCAATAACTCATAATTGGACGTAACATGGCTATTAGAGAACTGTGAATTTATTGATCGCCCAACGTTACACAAAAGCCATACTAGCAGTTTAGAGTACTTATCAGTCCTGCTATCTGACTAGTCCAGCCAGTTAAGTCCAGAACACCAATAACAGCCTCTGCAATATGAATCATTATTCTCAAACATACTGAGTTTATATACCAATCAAACTGACCACATCATACCATAAAATAGAAAATAACATTTATACAAAATATGGCCAAACGTGGCTGTGTATAGGGGATACAGTAATCAATGGACTAGGGATAACTCAGGAATGGTAGATAGTATAATAATAGTCTATTGGTCAAAATAAAGTTTATAATACGGGGTACACGAATATGAATATTTTGCTTGCTCAGCATTTATACAATAGGAAATATACATATCATATTAGTCCATAAATAGTTCTCAAAATTACCATTCATAAACCTCCACGGGATATAACGGGTTCATCGTATGACTGTTAACCTCTAACTGTCTGTGTGGAACGGTTGGAAACGTTCAAAACGAATATTGACATTTTAGGCGTCACAAATTCTAAAACTCAAAATTAGTAGTAAACCTTCTACAGTAGTTCAACCGGTTGTGAATTCTATTCATCACCGGTACAAATTAACAATACATACTGAATACAAACGCGACTGCATATAGAACACCACAAAGAAGAGATGAGGGTTTTTGTGGTTACGAAATTTATTACATTCACACGTCACTATGTAAGACTCACTATATGGTTTATAAGTGCAGATAAGTGATTTAGAGTAAAATAATCGCATAAACATGGTTGTGGCGGAATAGAAGAAGTTTTCGCTTAACGGACTTCCGTGTCTAATAGCGGTGGGTCACCAATACCTCCAGACAGAAACCATTCAACAAATTGATAGAGTGAAAACATGAAAGAATTGTCTTTTTTCAACACCCATATATATTCCGCAACCTTACCTCGTAGTCGCTCAGGTCAAGGACTGAATATCCAGTGGGTTCACGGTCAAGTGAATGCTGGTAAACTGACTAACAAACCAGTAAAAGTATCCAGGTCGCCCCTCAAAATGCACGGTATCGATTCCAGGTAGATCAAAATCACTAGTGATAGTATACAGTGTATCCTTATCCTCATGGTATTATTTCACCTTTGGACTGGTGAGCGCCTTTTCTAAATGAACATTACAACCAGTGTTACACTTTAGATACCTTTCCACCTTAATATTTATTTCACCACTATATATGTGCAACTGGTTATCCTCCTCACAAATCCTACGGTAATTCAGCAAGCCCGACCATATCTTGAATCGCTAATACCTTAAGCTCTCTTTCCTACTCCAGTCACTTTTCTAGTTGTTTCTTTTTAAGTAATGCTTTACTTTACCTGTGTCTATCAGAACCAAGTTTGGCAGTGCCCATAATGTGATCATCAGTATCATCAGCTTATCCCCATTAACATTAAAAAGTTTACGATTAGCTTCGGGAGGCTCACCTTCTAATGCTGTGATCTATTTTGACCTCGTTTTTAAAATCTCCGTTCATAAAATACAGTTATCTCATACAAAATTCAAAAAAGTTCAAAGAAATCAACAAGTAGAACCAAAAAGGTCGACCCATAATGAACATTCAAAGTCCATAATCCACAAAATTCAAAAAGAGAATTAAGGAACTTTTGTGTTATGTCTAAATATTACTCTAGACTGCCAGTGAATCACGGCCAGGCACCACGTTCGCGATTTACGACCAGAATATCGAAAGAACATAACTCCAATCCAGGTAACATGGTTTATTCGTAAATTACAAGGCATCAGCTCATACACGTTGTTGTAATAATTATTTTAGTTGTCACACAAGAAATCTTGAGTTTTTAGCTTTTGGAGCACAATTTCCAAAATACTAAACAAAAACTATCTGAATCCGGAAGTGCAATGAAACTTCAGACTTAACACAGAACAAAGGTTAGTAAAAATAAGCATAGTTTGTCACCGTAGTTACTATGGAATCCGGGCATTCGGGATTGGGTAGTTGTGCCTGAGAGTTGTATTTTGTACTGTTGAAGCACTATTTCACAAGACCCAACATAAATACAGAAGAAAACCTGATACCGAGACCCATGCTTTATGATATCTCCATCAACAACCAAAGATTCCGAGCCCTCATGTCACAACCGTACTCAATAACCCGTCTTTCTTAGATGTTCAAAGAGTTTAAAGAGATTTCCAATAGTTGACGTATGGTGTTAGGTTACTGACTCAGCTGTTGCGTCATCGCCATTTAATGGCCGTTGAAAATATCGCAGGCGAAGCGTTCCTAAAATAAGGGTGGCTCCAAGCTTTGTTGGAATAAATCTAAGTATTTGTCTAACGAACCTGTAACTTTTAGCACCCCTTATCCACAAAGCTATCTGAATCTTTTAAAACACAAATACAATCATGCCATTCAGGAGTTACTGGATTGAGGGACACCCCCTACAAATTACAGGAGAATATGAGACAACTTGCTGATGGTTCACAATATAACAGACATTCCTAGTTACCCAAAAGAAACCAAGCTGTCTGAACCTCAAAGCTTCACTCTCAGAAGTTACCCACCATGAGTTCAGAACTCTGAAGTTAATTCTCAGGTAAAGTCGTACTTTTTCCTATTACTCGTGTGTTCCACTTGAAGGGTTGCCTTGAAGGAAAGGCTATGGCTCTCTAACTGGACAGTACTCTGGACCAGACACGAAAAACACGTACTGATTAGCATCTTGTACTATCTTTTCACCAGCCTCACCTGATGCATATATGCTTCTTGTTGTTATCACCACTAATATTCCTATGATTATCACTACTATGATCATTAATACCCCAACGTGTTTGTGTTCACTGCACTCCCTGTCACCTTCGTCTATCAGTATTTCCTAGGATTTAGGTTGTTTATGTTGTTTGAGTACAATAGCCATCTGCTAACTGTGACCATTTTCTAATGGCTTCAACATTCTAATCTTAAATTTTATTGATTTAAACAAACCTGTCTGATTTTTGGTAGTGTGCTGGCAGCTTGTATTACTAACTCTGATGCTCCAGCACAAATGCATTCATTGGTGCTCAGGAAATATCGAATCCAAATCAACTATCAATCCAGGTAGTATCGGAGACTCGGAGTTTCTTGACCACGCACTCTGGATAAAATCAAAGACTTGGAATCATAACATAGAATCAAGGTGAGATCACAAATAAAACAATCTCTTCACCTCAACTCATCGAAAATATGTTGGATATCACTAAACTATGTTTTTATTTTCTTAAGGACAGTCGCGTATTGTCCGAGACTATATGCTATGGCGAAAATGCATTTCGAGGAGAAAGAGTACCGGTCACCGTGGGATATATTGTTAGCCAGAGTAAAACAACAGACACCTACAGTTGTTCAAAATAGTCTCTCAGTGGTTTTACGTTCCGATTCTACAGAGAATGAGTGGAAACGCAAGCACTACACTCCTCTGGATAGGAGAGACGCAGAAGCGACCTTATTATGATGGGTAGCCATCCTTGATCGCAAAAGGAAGGTTGACATCATCAACTTTGACTTCTCGAAAGCTTTAGATAGGGCCAATCATATACTTTTTACCAACAAGCTCAAACGATTAGATTTCAAATCATCATTAATTGATTGGCTTAGTTCATACCCAAATAGCCGACTAGACTAGATAGCCTGGGGAATTTGAAGCCTAATCAGTCTAGACTGCTCAAAGTCATTTTCAAATCCCCAAACGAACGAGACTTAATCTTAGAAAATCGACACAAATTAAAGGGTTCAGGAGTTTTTCTCCGTAAGGACTTACCGCTGGCGGACCGAGTAAAAAGGTGGGAAGCCGAAAAAGAACTACAGCTCACATTAGACGCTGGTGAAAAAGACTTGAAAATTGTAAATTTTCAGGTTGTGAGGCTTCGACAGATGATGCCGAAGCCACTATGGGTGGAACACGAGGCTACTTAAATAGGCCTCGGTCCTGTTATACCAGTGCCCGGAGCTTGCTCAATAAGCTATCGGAACTAGATGTACAGATTGACTCTACTAAGCCAGACATAATCAGTCACAGAAACATGGCTGACGCTGTCTATAGATAGCAGGGAACTTGATTTTAAGTGTTTTACATTAGTAAGGGCCGATGGAATACAAACGCGTAGAGGGGGAGGAGTAGCTCTATTCATTAGGAATGCTATTCCACTCACCATTATCGACAGTGTATCCCATGAGAGTGGGACATATGAATTAGTTAGCTGCCGCCTGAAATGCAAGGGACAAGAGCTGCTCCTTGGTTTGATCTATCGCAGTCCAATCTGTGAGGTAAATGAGGTCCTGCTAAGCAGTCTCAACACTTGGTCACGAAGTGATCGGTGTCTAATCCTAGGGGACTTTAATGCACCCATGGTGGACTGGGGAAATCTGCGGACTGAATCGTCAGAAAACTCCTTCGACCAGGAACTAGTTGATGCGGTAGTCACATGTGTCCTAGTGCAACAAGTGAAGGAAGCAACTAGGTACGACCAGGGCTCTGCATCATCCTTACTAGATCTTATATTGACTCATTATGAGGATGATGTTGCAAATCTGGATTACATGCCACCTCTAGGCAAAAGTGATCACGCAGTTTTAACCTTTGACTTCCATGTAACTGTCGATCACGAGCACACGTTAGCTCAATGAAGACCTAACGTCTGGAAAGCAAACATACCAGACATAATGAAATAAGCATCATCAGTAGATTGGACAATAGACCGACAGTCCTCAATCGAAACGGCTTGGGACGTATTCCGGAATTTATACTTAAAAGTTACCGCCCCCATACCCATTGGAATACACCAAGGGGGGCCGAGAAACTCCCCACCGTGATTCAGTAGGGAGGTTCGCATCCTTCTCCGTAAAAGAAGGAAAATGTGGGATAGATCTAGGTTACTGGGGACTGATGAAGCAAAATCTCAGTATCAAAAGGCTCGAAAGATCCGTGCCTCGACCCTCCGTAAGTTCAGAAAGCTGTAGGAAGAGAAAATCTTTAAGGAACCCGTATAATGCCCTAAACGCTTGTATTCGTATATAAACCAAAGGACAAAAAGAAGAAATGTCCTTCCACTATGGAGAGACAGTACTGCCTCATCACTAGTGGAGGACGACTTTGGCAAAGCTCAAGTATTCTCTAAATACTTTAGCAATGCATATACCATAGAAACACCCTTCTCACTAGTCCATGACCCCCCCCACCCCCAAACAAACACTGGACAGCGTGCCCACTACAGATCTCGATGTCTTTAGCCTGCTAATTAAGCTTGACGTAGGTAAATCCACTGGATCCGATGAACTGCATGCTAGATTACTAGAGGAATTAGCTGACTTTGTTGCGAACCCTCTAAGTACATGTTTTAATCTATCGGTAGCCCAGGGTCGTCTACCAAAAGACTGGAAGAACGCCATAGTAAGTCCAGTTTTCAAAACAGGTACAAAACATAAGCCTGAGAATTACCGACCCACTAGACTAACTAGTATGGTTGTTAAAATCTTAGAAAAGTTTATTCGGAAGGAGCTGTTTAAGTACCTCGATGAAAACCGGATCCTCTCTCTTGTCTCACAAACTTATTAGTCGCTCGTGAAAGCTGGTGCGCTCTTAAGGACTAAAAGTTACCTATAGACGTAGCTTACATCGACTTCAGCAAATCTTTTGACAAAGTTCCGCACAACCGGCTGTCGTATAAGCTAGGGAATGTCGGGATTGTTGGCAATCTATTGATGTGGATAAAAGACTTCCTAGTTGGGCGTCAACAAAGAGTAAGGGGAACTCCAAGTTGTCTAGCTGGGAAACTGTGCTTAGTGGAGTCCCCCAGGGTACAGTTTTGGAGCTAGTGTTATTCCCTCTGTACGTAAATGACCTCCCGCGTCTACTATCGTCATCGGTCTTACTCTATGCTAATGATATCAAGATATGGGGAGCGATACAAAGCAAGGGCAATAGCTTAAAACTCCAAAATGACCTGGAGAGATTATTTGAATGGTCCCAAACCTGGCAATTCCCTCATTTTCTTGTCTTCCAAAACAGAAAATCTACGAGGACAATCCCAAAAATGTTCACAAGCCCAGAACGAATTACTTGTCAGCTGACTACCGACTTTCCCATCGAATCATCAATGAATGGAACTCATTACCTCAGCACGTGGTTGAGGCTCCATCCGTCGACTCTTTCAAAAGAAAGTTGGATCAGCTGAGAGACCATAATTGCCAGGACTAACACAGGCCATCAAGCCTCCTGTCCTTTCCAAACTGAAACTGAAACTGAAGAGACTTCCTAAGAGTCTTTTATGAGGGAACCTAAAGACTAAGGACAATATCTCAGTAACTCACTTTTCCCTTTTTTATCGTCAAACATACATAGGTTCTTACCTGGAGGCATCAGTGATCCACTGCTACTAGATATGGATGCTCGTTAAGCGAAAGCCTTGAACCATTGGGAATTGAATCAAAGTTCCTGGATTTTTAAGGTACTCGTTACGTCATGCTGTAGGATTTATGGGAAAGAAAAACAAAAATAGAAGAGAACTATGTCAGACGTCGGATAATACTGGTAATTTATAAACATTTGGACTTATTGTTTCAGGAGACAAGGTGAACTTTCGTAACAATGTGAAAGAAAATGTGCCTGTCAAAGTAACACTTATTTGGAAATAATTTTTAGGGTCTTCATAATTTAGGCAACACATGTTATCTTAATGCTGCCCTTCAATGTCTTGCAAGAAGTCCATGGCTTTTGAATCTGTTAGTTGTCGATGAATCCAGAGAATCTTCTCTAACTAAACCTAATGGGGTAAACTTTAAAATTCAGCTTTATTGTTTCAGGACTCATTATGCACATTATGTGTTTCCCTACCACTGATGAAGTGCCCACTAACAACCCAATTTAAGGAACTTATTTCTGTTTTAAAGCCTGGTGAGCTGCCAAATACCAAAATGAACTCTTCCAACGCAATTAGTCCTGGGGTTTGTTGTAACAACTAGTTCTAGAGTTTTCATTCAAGATGTTTCGAAATGTGTTTATTGAACGTTGTCCTCGATTCAGTGGATTTAGGCAACATGATAGCCATGAGTTAATTCGTGCTCTGTTGGACTGCTTAAAACAAGAAGAACTTTCACGCTGGAAGAAGGGCATTTTACTCAAACTCAATGTTAACCCAAAAGTTAGTCAATTATTTCTCTTAATTAGCGGGATCTATTCCGCATGAATGTATCCGTGTTTAGGAATTTCTTTCAGAGCTTCAGACTTCGCCCTTCTTACAGACGCCCATTCATTAGGCCCGAGTTATTGAGTCACATTCTGTAGCTTTGTGTAGTCTCATTTCACAGACAAGTTAGTACTAAATGGACTGCAGATACCAAGCTTCATTTTCAAAATCTGCTTCAACTTCCTATGCTTCATATCACATTTGCTAACATGGTAGTTGTATCACTTGACCACATGTTTATTTTAGGTCATACCATGTTTTCGCTTTTGGAAAGGAGTTATTCGTCGATCTAGATTAGAATTGCGTTCTAGAAACATCTCTGTACCCATACACTGGTTTTCTAAATAAATAAAGACCGTCTACTTGGGGCTTGCCACGGCTATGCGTTGGCCTAAGTAGCCATACCTAATTAAAAGGACACAGTAAGGTATGGAAGATGAAAAAAAGACCGAACCTTATGAACATGGTTTGTAAAGACAGCTGGAAAGTATGTATGAGATGGCACTGTAATTCGAAAACGACTAAGTGCTACTGCACCATTGCGAACTATTCTGGACCATGTCATTTAAAGTCTCCGACTACTGGGATAGATATATAGAGGGGGTTTATCGTATTTTCGTCGTTTTTAAAGATACTTGAGGGTTAGTTTCAATGAGTTTGTTTATACTAAATCCAAACAAAATTTATCACATTGTTAATCAGTCTATACGTTTCAAAACTAAGAAAAGTCAGAGGACAGAGTAATCTTATTACTTGTTATTGAGATTGACAGTTCAATCCAACGTAATTTCATCAAGAGTACGAGTCGTTTTTGCCTCAAATTATAGGAATTTGTTTATCGGCGGCAATTATAAGTCAGTCAAAATGTAATTATCTGGATGGTCGACTTGCTTGCGTTTTGTCTACTTACAGCATACCTGGGCAAATGATTTTGTCTAGATTAGTGACGGGGCCATAATTTGAGACTGATCGTCAGTCAGTACAGTCATTTATTGTCAGCTTAAGCCTCATGTTTTGAAATGCAGGACTGTTTCTAAGACCGTGTTCTGTTTCTACTATAAAACCTGCTATCTTTCTGGTTCCCTATTTCTGCGCTTCTGCTTTTTAGATTTAAAATGTGATTTATTGAAACAATGTGTAACTATTGAATTCCTGATACATCTAAGGAATATTGAGTCCTTTATCTTAATATAAAACTATATACCGTAAAATTTTAAATGTGTCAAATATCGCCGCCGACCTACACATTTATATATTCACCCGGTAAATAACGTCACCTGCAAAAGTATTGGGATAAGTACAAAATGCGTATATGCCGTACTTGTTAAGTTAATATCATGGAGTTATTTAACCAAGGGATAAACATCTTAAAACTTCGCTTTTATTATATGAACGGCGTCATAGTTAATAACCAACTAGTTACCAGCATTTTCTTTCTATAAGTACTTTAACTTACAGCATTTGCACGACAAGCATATTATTCTTTAATGGAACAATAATAGATGGTAAAAAATAATTGTACGTAACTTTACTATAAACTGTAAAACACTAATGTTTAGACATTGTAAGACAAGAAGTTTCAAGTTCGAACTTCAACTTTGCACAACACCAACTGAGATTTTATTTTCTCTTCACTATATAACAGGATGTTCGTGATGATGAGAAAGAGTCTATTCGCAGTTGGGGAAAAGCAGCTTCGATAGCCACGATTGTAGATCGACTTTTCGGTGGGATTCTTGTCAGTACAATACAGTGTTGTTGTTGTGGTACTGTTCGTCCTAAATTTGAACCATTTCTGGACCTTTCACTGTCTGTTTCTGAAACGAATGTTTCAAAACGCAATATAAATGAATCTGTGTCTAAACAGCATTCTAAAGGTTAGTTTACTGAATGTTTGAGTCTACTGCCATGTCCGGTTTTTATACCCTTTCAACTGTTAAACAGCTGTCAAAACAAGAAAGATCACATCCTATCACAAAATTTTCTGCCTCATAAACCACTTGATAGGTGGACATTTCTGGTATAACAGATGACCTCACTATTTAAACTTGAAAGCGGTTTTCATTTCATGGATTTTTTTTTGAGTCCAGCAAGTGGTATACACTGCAAAGTAATGTGGGAGGCTCATTCACCAGGTAATCAAGAATGGGTCACGCTCTAGGTGTGAGGGATGACGATGCCACCAGATTATTCAAACCCAGGTTATTCTGCGTCCGAACCTGAGACGTAATTCTCGAAAGTCGAACGACCTAACTACTAAGCTACAGTTTTAGTCGGTAAATGTAGACTACATGGTTGGGGTTCATTCAGTAACAACTGGCTGCAGAATTCAATCAACATGGCTTGAAATTGGCCAGTGCAGCGAAAACAATCAGTATATTTTTGTGAACCTCATATTCCAGTATTCCTTCATACATACCTTTCCATTCTGTCTTCTTGAAGGATGTTTCGTCTTTCTTGTTATCATTGCTACTATGATTATTCTGGTTCCTTTACCATTCATCTGAACGGTCTTTTCATTTTGTCTCATAGGTGCCTCCAGTTCCAAACAACTTCGGAAAAAGGAAGTAAGTATATTCTCTATTTTAATTATGTGGGGAAATCGGTGTACTGAGTATAAAAATTATGATGAATTTTTATTACCTTGTCGGCGAAGAAAGAGAAACAACCCAGTGGGGAGGTTTTCCTTTTCGATAATTTCATTTACTTATGCTGTAGAATCGTATTTATGGTTATTTGTTTTTTGTTTATTTGAACACAAATATTGGTACAAGGGGGCACCGAATATATATGCGCTACACAAGTCGCTTGATTTGTGTGTGGGCTGTGATACTGCCCAAGTGCCCAGATCGAAACAGGTGGTTTTCTTAGGGGGCCACACCCGGAGCCTTTGACCTAAAAGTCTGATCCACAATACAATGTAGCTACGTCACGAGTTGCAATTCCATGGTAGTCGATGACGAATAACTAGTTTATACGCCATTTGTTCCCTCGGGATACTGGAGCCCATGTGCACCATTGGTTTGAAATGAGGGTTTTCCAACTCTCCCAGGTGGATTCTTTGTGTCTATCAGCCTGGTTAAAGCACCGGACATTGGCTTTTCGTCTTCTCAATTTCGTAACCAACAATTCTGTGAGATGGCGGTGGGCAGGACTTCCCTGTCAGTGGCTATATATGCGCGGCCATGTGAGAAAATTTTGAAATGAAGAGCGGACTCTCTCCACCCTTGACCGTACCAGGGCATTTGGGGGCTCGGTCTAGTGACGAGTTAATTAAAAGTTCGGTAAGATTTTCACAAATATAATTCTCCACCATAATGAATAATAAAAGATCGCAATGATGGTTAATTAACGTGTCTCAAAAATATCTATGGGTATGAAAACTGATAGATTATAGAAAACTAAAATAAAAAGTAAGAGCATGATGGAATGACAGATTGAACATACGGTTTTTGTATACAAAGCGTAGGCTTGAATTGATGGTTAGCTAATAGTCTCTAATGCACATAGATTTTTCATTTGTATTCTTTTCGAACCGATTCTTCTGACTGTGTGAATGGTTTCGAAGGATTCTGATGAAGCAGTGTCTAGAATTATTTAGATGTTCCAGAATTGAGCTGTTTGCTGACTTTGGAGTCGTTTAGATAACCGTGCAAGATAATGTTCAGAGGTGGGCCTCGAACGAGCTTAGTATGAACCTATAGCCCCCAAATGCCGTGGTACGGCCGAGAGTGGGGAGAGTCCGCTCTCACGTGGCCACGCGTATATAGCCTCTGCCAGAGAAGTCCTACTCATTGCCTTCTCGTGGCATTACTGTTGTTTACGAAATTGAGAGGACGAAACGCGAATGTCCGGCGCTTTGACCGGATTGGTAGACACGGCGCGTCTACCTAGGGGAGTTGGAAAACCCTTTGTTAGTGGGGCACCGTAAACAATCGTCTTTGTGCCCCATGGTATCGATTGAACTGTTTCTCCATCGATAAGTTTCGTTGGTGCTCGCGAGCTGGCGTCGGACGGATGACATCGAAATGTATCCTTATTTTTCTGCCAAGTAACGCTTCCACTGGAGAGACCCCATTTGTTGTTTGAGGGTTCGGTGTAGAACGGTAGACAAACGGGAACCTCTCTAAGATCTCGTCGGTGGTACCCACCCCTCTTGATTTTTTTAGAGCATTTTTGAACGTACCAACAAAACGTTCTACCTGGCCATTCGATTGCGGATGGAATGGAGGTGTTCTGATGTGCCTGATTCCGTTCTGCTGACAAAGTTCTGAAAAGATAGACGATGTAAATTGTGTGCCGTTGTCGCTGACTACTTGTTCTGGAACCCCGAAACGACTGAATAGTTGCCGCAGTTTTCTAACTGTGCAGCTTGCTGTAGGATGTTCCATGATGAAGATTTCCGGCCACTTGCTGTATGCGTCCACTACCAAAAGGTAAGTTTGTCTAAATGTATACGCTGTCACGGTGACTGTGGTATCGGCCATTATTGCAACTCTGCTTTTTGCGGTGCTTTTGCTGCCAATGCACATTTTGTACACGAACGGGATAGCTGCTCGAGTTGGGTATCTAATTGTGGCCAGTATGCATAACTTCGTGCTAGAGCTTTCATGCGGTTTATTCTAGGATGTCCTGCATGCAGCTGTTCGAGGACTGCTGGTTGCAACTTCTTTGGGATTATAACACGTTCAGCAAACATGAGACAATCGTCGATGATTGAAAGAGATAATCTGCGCTGATAAAACTGCTGAAGCTCTGTTGAACTGATCTTCGAGGGCCACCCTTCTAGGTGGAACTTTCTGACTTCTTGTAGAACAGGGTCTCGAAAAATCTCTTTTCTGACTTCATTTGACGACACTGGAGTGTTTCGAATTGCCGCTGCTGCTACATTTCGTATTTCTGGAACCTTTTCACCTGTCTTTTTTTGCATATGAAGTGGTGTCTGATGATAAATAAATCAGATTAAGGCATGTTATGTGCATGATCGTGATGACGCGCACTGATCGGCTAATTCTTAACCAATCAGCCCTGACAAATTATTGGAGAAAATTCTAGAAGCTTCTTATGTATATACTATAAATATATGAATGTTATTCAAATCAGTGATTGCTGTTCACTTAACATTATTATTTTTGAATACAATTTCGTTCCTGTTCAACGTGTTCCGATTTTTGGGGTCTTATCGAGTGTCATTGTGTAAGAATGCTAAGCAATAGGAGTAGCTGGGTCGTTTATTAGCAAAATACAATTATAACACCCTTATTTCAAACCAATGGTGTACATAGGCTCCAATATCCTGAGGGAATAAATGGCGTATGAATCAATCGTTGGTGACCGGCTACCATGGGACTGCATCTCCTCACGATGCTTCACTGCCTTGTGAATCAGACTTTTAGGTCGAAGGTTCCGTGTCTGGCCGCTTAAGAAATCCACCTGCTTCGGTCTGAGCACCTGGACAGTATCATAGCCCTTACACAAATGAAATGACAATTTTTTGTGTGGCATATATATATCTGGTGCCCCCTTGTCCATATATCTATGTGTTCAAATAAATAAATAAATAAATAAGTGTACGTACAAGATGACCCACTGTACATGAAAAAGTAAACTGATAATTTGGTCAAAAGCGGGAGCTTTTCCTTTACACAACTATGAATCATATGTCTACCGTGTTTGAAGAGATTACAAAATCACCGAAAATTGACTAACGGAACGAAGGATCAGCGACACAACGACAAGTTAAGCTAAACTATTCCTATGCGTCTCAGCCCTGCTGACTAGATGTAGAAAACCAGGTTCAGATAAGGGAAGGTATTTTTCACAAGCAGCCAGAAGCACGAACGAACGGGCACAACTCAAGCGTATATATACAGTATAAAAATGTTCTTAGAAAATGTCACAAAATAGCGTATTAAAAGAGACAACAAACAATGACATCAAGAGTCCTTCCGAGTGAGAAATACAATCTAAAAGTAAAAATGAGCGTCTTTGGAGCGAAAACGAAAAATTCAAATTCCCAAAATGAAATTACGAAAGTAAGACATTTACCAATTGATTTCTGGAGATCTGGCATCCCCAAAACCTTCCCTTTCGATAGCATACGTCCTTGAGCAAACACCGGACATCCAAACTCGTACGTTGGTACTTTCTGAGACTTTGTCTGTAGTGGTGTAGTTCTCAAAAGCATCAGATTGTGGATCATACTCAGTCTTCTTCCTATGAGGATTTCTGCTGGGGACTTCTGCTCTGGTAGTATATCATTGATGTCGTTCGATAGACGAATAAGGAGTTCTGTAGTGTTTCGACTAGCGTCCCCTCCTCTTCTGACTTGAGTAGACCCCTCTTAAACGTATCAAAAAGCCTTTCTGCCTGGCCATTTGAGTGTGGATGGTAAGAGGGTGTTATATCCCCTGGTGAATTATGAATGGTAACTCTAAGGTCTATTTATCGACCAATGTATTATGCCTATTTCCTATTGTACAATTATTACGTAACTAAAATATTCATATTTGTGTTTCTCTTATCATGAGCTTTATTTTGATCTTTGATTTATTATCATACGATTCTTGAGTTATACTCAGTTATTGATTACTTTGGTTTGTATAAAAACCCATTATGTTTGTAAATAATGATTCATACCACTGAGGCTGTTATTGGTGTTTTGGGCTTAACTGGCTGGGCTAGGCAGATCGCAGGACCGGATAACACTCTAGTCTGCTCGTACGGGTTTCGTGTCACTGTTCAACCGATAATTCGCTGCGCCCTGTTTGGCGGTTCTATCGAGTCACATATCAACTAGCCATCCACTCGGCCACAGATATAACAGAGGGAGAGCGAAAATGTTTGATAGGTAGACATTGGCAGAATCCTTGGAACTGGCTGGAGGTGAGTTGTGAACCGTTGTCTGATACGATTACATCCGGTAATCCGTTGCGAGAGAAAATTTGCGTCAAGAGCTGTATTGTTTTGGCCGTTGTTTGTGGCATGGTGGGGAAGATTCATGGCCATTTTGAAAACTCATTGACTGCAACTAGATAATTTTTTCCATTGGTTGGTCTAGCAAACTCGGCGTGTATCCTGGACCAGGGATATTCAGGCTGTGACTATGGAACCGGCGGAACTTAGGCGTTAATTTTCACCTCTTGTTTACACTGCGTGCATTTGCCTACCAACTCTATGATTTACTGGTCCACAAGAGGTTAATATGCATAAATTATAGCTATGGATTTCATTTGTTTTACACCAGGATGACCAATATGTAACTGCTTCAGCACCTTTGATCGTAGGAATTCTGGCACAACCACTCTCTCCAAACATCAAGCATTCTTTTACGACGTATAATGAATCCTGACGATAGTTAAGTTGCTTCATTTCACAATCAACCAGTAGACGACCAACCGTTGATGATGTAGTTCATCGTTTTCTTAATGATGGGTCGTTCCTGGAGGCAGCTTGTACCTCTGATGCTGAAACTGGCAAAGCACGAATAGCAGTTGTTATGTAACAGTGGTCGTGATCTTCTGTCGAGAGTGAGGCGATAATCATATCTTCCTTTGCCGTAGAGTGTTCACTCATAAGTCGTGACAAAGCGTCTTCCTGACCAAAATATTGAATCTCTAAGTCAAAACCCAATAGTACGAAGACCTAACGCTGGAGGCGACTTGCAGAATGGGCTTGAATGACATATTTTTAACCGAAAATTATAAGAGGCTTGTGGTCTGTCAAACGAGTAAGTCTTCGATTGTACAACTTATGGAAGCGGCGCACTGCAAAGACGATTCGTAGTGCATTGGTAATAATTCTAAGCTATTGATCGTCCTCAGGTTGCATAGTGTTATTTCACAGTCTTTCGTCCAGTTCCAAGTGGTGTTCTTATTCAGCCGGGCGCGGATGGCATCCATCGATGGAAAAAAGGCTGACTAATAGCTAACTAATCCCAGAAATGATCGTAGGGCAGAAACATTGGTGGGGTAGGCACTAATTGTATAGTTCTAATGTTTTTGCGACCTGGTTTGCGGCTTGGAGTGTCAAAAATGAGACCCAAATGCTTTACGGACTTCAAGAAAATTTAACACTTCTGGACGTAATGAAAACCCATTCAGTCAGTGGTCTTGAGTGCTGTTAGAGTTATCACTTTCCGGTTTCCCACACCGTGGAAGGGTTCTTCTAGAGGTACCTGAAGAAGGATTTGGGTTAAAAGTGGTCTTAATGACCTGAGAGCGTGACCACAGTGCCCAAGGGACAACTGCTTGGGGTCGGTCACACATGACCTTTTTGTGGGTAGTTTTTGTGTTAGCTCCTTACTTGTTGGGACCTTACCGTCGGAGACGGATATCCGTGGGATAAAGCGAGGTGTGCATTTTTAGGGTCGACCTTTTCTAACCCCAACCCTCCATGTGGGAAGGCAGCATCACTGTCATGCTGGTTGTCTAAAGGAAACACCTTACTGCTGCTACACCTCTGTACTGTCAGCAGTACGACTTCTCCTTCGGACCTTTGGTTTGTTGCTTTTAGTCTCACCGCTCTTCAACCGACCTGCCTGGCATGGTAGGACCTTGAGGAACGATTGTTCCAGCCAATATAGCTCGATTGGTTCATCACGATCGGCAAACCCGACCACCACGTCAAGGTAGCAGCAACGGTCGAGATGAAAATCCATTATCACTGATGCGTTGTAGTACAGCCGTAGTGCGTTCTCATAGCTGTTCTAACAAAGTGGCAACAATTAAGATATCATCGGGATAAGTTGTGACCACCGGGATACCCGATAGGATGATATCCATTAGACGTTTACCAATTAATTTCTGGTGATCTAGCATCAACAATGTCGACTGAAAAAGAGAACACAAAGTTCACCCGAATAAAATGTTTGTCTCAGAGATTCAGAAAGTCTGTTTTCCAGAATTCCTGCCATCGTATTTCTTTTCAAACTAAACGTTCATGAAAAGAATCTTCTTTGATGCTGTAGACACTCATTCACGTCCCTACATTGGTTTCAGATGTTGATGAATCTAGGTGGATACCCTTTGTTGACTGGTATCTGCCACATTGTATCGAGGTCGATTTTGACTGTTTCATCGGTATAGATTCGTCTAACCGTCGTACATAGAAAATGGATTAGGTTTCTTTTTTGTTTCAGTGGAGTTCAACTTTGAAACTTCGTTTACTAGCCATTCCACGTTGGCTTTCTATATATCGATGTTTGTAGCGAGTCATCAGATCTCATTTTTTATGAAGCATCTAGGAAGTGGGATTCTGAATCCGACCCTTTTTTACTTTAATATTATTTTCATCAAATTGTAGCGTAAACGTAAAGCTCCAAAACAACGGAAACGTCAAAATTTCATACATGATTATCAATCAGATCAGGGATGTTTAGATCAGTGCAGTTCAGATTCAGATAGTCAGAAAACAAAACATAACCACCAACCACTGGACACATTTATTGCAAAATGTTGTGCTGATGTAACAGATCCAAATGTAGATAGTAAGCATGTCGAGAACGTGGATGGGGATCTTGTTGTAAATGAGCATCAACATGAAGATAATAATGGCAACAATGATGTGAATTTGCTCAATTCAAATGAATGTGAGCTTTCAAGTGAGTAAAGGTTTCATTCTTTCTTATGACATTCTATTTTCACATGTTGAATTTTTACGAATCGTTCATAGTTTCTATGGAAAAGATTTTACTACGAAATTACATGTCTTTGGGGAGATTGTTTCTGACAGAAATTATTTCATTCATTATGGTCACTTGTGCTTGTAACCAGTGTAGCTGATGTTGTAGTGATTAAATCATTTAGATGTTAAATAATTGGTTGCAGGTCTTGCCCCCAAATGCCCTGGTACGGCCAAGAGTGTGTGGGGAGGTCCGCTCCCCCTCTCATAATGCTCTCACATGGCCACGCGCATATAGCATCTACCAGGGAAGTCCTACTCACTCCCTTCTCGTGACATTACTGTTGTTTACGAAATTAAGAGGATGAAAAGCGAATGTCCGGTGCTCTAATCGGGTTGGTGGATATGGAGAATCCACCTAAGTAAGTTGGAAAACCCTCATTTTAAACCAATGAGTCCCGATAGCCACTTGCTTGTTCAATGGGATGAAGTTTAAATTCACTTGGTATTGTTTATTTGAATCTTCCCATTAATGTTTAGGACTGCACTTGAACAGTCTCTTATTAGTATATGTGCATACCATGCGTATGGCTTCGATATAGCCTTAATTCACAAGCATTCTAAGCAAAGATAGATAGTGACTAACAGTGGAATCCAGCAATCCATTTGCAGTCTTAAACATCGATAGGAAGATTCAAACAAACAGTACCAAGTGAATTTAACAGAAAATGGTTTTAATCAGATAGGGGATTTGTGGAGATTTCAGGATTTTCATAGTTGAAATCATGAATCAATTAAAACTAAACCACCATGGAAAATCTGGAAGCACTGGACGGCCGTTTCGACCTATTATGGGATTCCTCAGCAGTGCACATCCACGATCCCGCCTTGCGAGATTCGAACCCAGGACCTGCCAGTCTTTCTAAGGAGTCCCATAATATGACAAAACGGCCGTCCAGTGCTTCCAGGTTTTCCATGGTAGTCTAGCTTCAATTGACTCATGATTTCAACTAAGAGAATGGTTTGTTTTAAAATTAACCGGTGTAGTACAAGAAGAAAAATTACATTAAATTATTAACTACTTATAAGTATTATAGAGTAGTATCGTTATCTCATAAATCGTTATTGGGCGAATAAGTTAAAACAGGAAGGTTTTTTGTTGTTGTTAATTTTCAGTAGTATATTTCATGATCCAATTGTACATTACTTTATTAGAGATAACGTTTTCTTGATACTTGTAGGCGAGACATTAAACCAAGGTTCTTGTGATGAAGTAGCATCATCGGACGGTAAGCGAATTCTAATTTGTATATTTTTAGTTTTTCATTGATATTCATAACTCTTGATTTGTGATTTACTCTCAGTATCCGAATAACATTCAGTCAGTTGTTAGGAAATTAGGTTCTCGATCGGATTTATTACATTTCGACTGAACCACCGACTGCCCCGACGTGCAATGTTTTATGGTGTAGGAGTAGGTTGGAAGAAAGCTAGGGGCGGCCAAACCGAAACGTGGCATAAATCCATGAAGTCACTGACAATTGGACTGAGCCATATTGGTAGGTGTAGACTACCTGGTTGGGATTCGCGAGATGATAGCAACCGATGGTTAGAGACCTTGAATGATATAGCTGAAAATCGTTTGCAATGGGGAAGGTGCATTCACTCTTTGTGCTCTACCAAATTCTAATCTTCTGAATTCTTCATGTTACTATCCTTTTTCTCCTTCCAAATTTATTTCACTAGATTACTCTCCTTGAGTAACATCTTCAAACCCTAATCTTTCGAATTACTGTTTATACTCTTACTACTTCTAGCACTATGGGATTTGAATCGACAACTGGATCTCTGTGCTAATGTGGCATGGCAACTCGAACTGATGTACGTACGTACGAAGTTCTACGTTATGACTGACTGACTGAAATTTCACATTGTAGTTTAGTTGCTGTAACACGAAAAATAAACCTGTCGCCTTGGTTAGATTTCAAGTTAGAAATTGAAGTAGCCCATTCTATCTCATTTTGTAATTTTCTTTTAATATGGAGTAGAAATGGACCCGTATAAAAGTATATTTATAGAAAAAAAAACATGGAACGGTCAACTAACCAACTTCCATAGCTTGGTTCCACTAAACTGAAAATTAGAATCTTATTCACTCTTCATATTACCGAATGAATTGAAGAAGGACTTGGGTTTTTCAGAAGAATTTTGGCTGAAAACAGCTTTCTTAGCCACTTCGTGAAGAAGATTATGAAAGAAGGCTGGAACAAAAAATTCAGAAATTTCGTTTCAAAGAAATATCTTTATAAGAATCTGGAATTGAAAGGTGACCAAATCTCAAAAATCAGCTATCGACAGTTATTAAAAGAACATTCTGTGTGGCGACTGACATTAACTAACAGAAATAGGATAAATTTCCTCCTCTGGTCTGATGTTCATCTACCAGTTCACCTGCTCTTGTGAAACAAAGTACATAAGTCATAGTCAGCGGTCAATCTCAATTTGCATATCAGGACACATTGACATGTAGTTCTGCAAGAGTAAGGAAAAAAGCGGTTTGGAGTTCTATTTTTTGAACATTTAGTCGATTCTAATCACTCTACTGACCTACAGGCTGATTTTAAGGTTATTTATACAATTCGTTCACATTCTCCAAGACTTCTTCGTATTCAACTCCTTAATACAGAAGCTCTTACTATTCATGAAATGAACTATGTGTGCAAAAGAATTACATTCTATACTTATCCTCACTGCAACTTTAAACGATAATGCTTAGATACGACACCATGAATATCTACTAACTTTGCTATGAAAATATAAATAGTAATCCTTCGTATGATCGTCTCGTTGTGTCAGTCCTGTACTTTATTTACTTGATTTTTCGTCAATCATCTTAAGATTAAATGGACACAAGTAGAGACATAGTGATTTATCCAGTTTATTTCACGAACGTGTTTTAATTGGACAACTTTTTAAAGCCATGAAGGACTGGACAGCTGTTTTATCGTAATGTGGGACTTCTCAGTGGTGCCCATCCACGACCCCACCATACGGGATCGAACCCTAAGAGCTTCAGGTCTTGTGGCTAGCACTTGACTTTCAAATAATTGAGTCGGCATCCAGTGGTTAACATTTTTAACTTCGGTCAATTTGTGATATTGTACACCTATCATCCGGTGACACTTGTAAGTAACTCCCTCATTATTGATATGATTAAACTCCACTGATTACCACTTTTTACTAGAACTTTAGAAGTTACGTCTTGTGAGGGCGGCTCTTAGTCAACTCCGAAAGAGTCGAAGACATTCCATCCAATCATCGTTTGGAAGAACATCCCAGAATCTCGAATCCTGATCGGAGAGATGCTAAAAACCACTGTCTGCGGATTGGATGACTGTAATGATTACTTCGGTTTTTACTAAAAATTACTAATATCCGAGTGTTTTGTATCATATTTGACAGTGGTTGGAATAAGATTCCTCCCCATTCACCTTTTTTCTTCTAACTTGCAACTTGGAGGGTTCAAGCGTTTGAGTGCTTAAGTTGTATGCGGTATAGGAAAAATTTAAGTTTTAAATATAGTACGTCTCGTTATAAATATTTTGGGAGGTTCGTTTTTTTTGTTTTATGGATGCTTTTGTGATTCTATCAATCAGTCACAACGTAGAACTTTGTACGTACGTACATCAGTTGGAGTTGCCATAAGTGGTTTCAGGATCCGTGTACTCGGATCGTTTGCCCTAGCGGTGCGAGGTGATAAAAGGACGTGAGAAGGGTTAGTCGTGGAGATAAGAGAGTTATTAGGTGTAGGAAGGATTTGAATGTGACCAACTTGGTCTCGTGTGCAGTTACGGGTATGAGGGCTAATATCACTTCCTGGCTACCCACACCGTGGAAGTTTGTGATTCTATACTTTCACTCTGCCCTCAATTTGACTTATTATGTAGTTTATTTGTCCTTTTTGTTACTTATTTTTTATGAAGGGAATTGTGCAGACGTTGAAGGTAGTGATCGATATGACAGTGTTGTATCTCTGCAAGTAATTCCAAATGGCTGTGATGGAAATGTAAAACAGTCAGAGATAAATCATATCAACACAGAATTGGAAAAGTTATCTTTGAATACAGTTGTATCGTCACAGTTGTTTTCATGTGATTCAGATGAATTAAATCAAGCTATTCATTATGCACGAGTTCCACTTGGTCAGAATAGAAGTAACAATTCAACAGAAGAAGGAGTTACTTCTATTTATGAATGTCTTTCAAAATATACTTCTGCTGAATTATTAACAGGATCTAATCGTTTAATTTGTGATGTATGCACAAAACAAAAATCATTAGATGAGTTGGATAATAATTTGGATAGTGAATCAATGGATAAGCAGACGTCTAACAACAACAAGCCAGATATTTTACAAGATGCTATCAAACGTGATTTAATCTATAAACCTCCACCGATTCTGACAATACATTTGAAGCGATTTCAACAGGTAAGTTATTCTGTTGATAGTAGGAAATCCATTGCTTTAATAATAAATACGTCTGGTCTTTGAATGTTTGATGCTAATCAATGTCTAGCCCTCAGAAATTCTGTAAACTTGAATCTCGAAAAGAAGATAAAAGACAGGAAATATGAAAAGATACTACTTCTAAGGTTAATATAAGTAGGAGTACAAGAATATGTATAGATTTAGGTATCCTGGATAATTTAGAAATTCTATCCTTGCTTTGGTAATTCGTGCCCTCATATCTTCATCAGATCCCACTTGTTTATCAGTGATGCTATTCAGGTACGTGAAAGTTTCCACCTTTTCCAGAGTTTCACCATCAAGTGTGATCGGGTTGGTGTTTTCCGTGTTGCTTTTTCCCTGGTGTATGATGAGGCCTACTGATGCACAGACTTCTGCTGTACTGGCTATCTTCACCTACATTTATTAATGTGTATAGGATAGAAGGACTAGTTAGTCTGCAAAGTCCGAATCGTCCAGTTGCATCTAAGCTGTTCATTGTATTTCGTGCCTCCCCTGAGATATCTAGGTGTTCATAATCCAGCCAGCCACCAGAAGAGAAAAGATGAGGGTAAGCAGCCTTATCTGACTCCGGTGCTCACTTGGAAAGCATCTGTCAGCTGTCCTCTATTCATGAGTTTGCAGTGTGGTCCGTCGTATGAATTCCGTATAAAGTTGACGATCTCAGGTACACCATAATGTCGAAGAAGGTTCCATAATGTTCTCCTATCCACACTGTCAAACGCCTTCTCATAGTCAATGAAGCTAATGTACAGTGATGAGTTGCGTTCAGTTGATTGTCCAACAATGATCTGTAGTATCACGATTTGGTCTGTGCACGACCGATCATCACGGAATCAAGTCTGTTGATCCCGAAGCCGGATGTCTACTAAATCTTTCATCCGGTTCAGCAACACTATTGAAAACTTTTTCTGGTGTCGATGGTAGTGTGGTTCCTCTGTAGCTGAGTTCCCGAGTTTTCTCAGATGTCCTTTCTTTGGTAACTTGATGAGTTGTCCTTCTTTCCAGTCCGTCGGCACTTGTTTCTCCCCACCCAAATCCTTCTGAGTCAAACATGGAGCATGTTTTCAGTTACTTCTATGTCTGACTTCAGAGCTGCGGCTGAAATATTGTCAAATCCTACTACTTTCTCTTTCTTGATTTGTCTGATGACCATCTTGATTTCTTCGATCGTTGGTGGAGTGAAATCTGTAAGAAGGTTTATGTGTGCTGCTTCGATATCCTGTGAGTTCAATGAAGCTGGTTTATTCATGAGTTCCTCGAAGTATCCTATCCATCTGTTCCTCTGTTCTTGAATCTCAGTGACTGGCTTTCCTTTTTTGTCTTTGACCGGTGTCTCTAGTTTCCAATATTTCCCTACCCTTTTCTTCGTTGTATCTTATTCTTTTCTCTTGTAGCTTTTTCCGCCGTCGTTGCTAGTTCTTCCATGTATTTCTGCTTGTCGGCTTTAATGCCTTTCTTCACTTGTTTGTTTGCTTCTGCATATTCTGCTTGTGCCTTGACTTTCTCTGCTCGTGTTCTACGGTTGACAACTTCTGTCTTCTTGTTCTTCCTTTCTTGAATCTTGTCCGGGGTTCCCATTGAGATCCATTGCTTATGATGATGCTTCTTGTGGCCCAGAACCTCCTGAAATGTTAGAGTTAGTGCTTCTTTGATCCTTTTCCATTTGTCCTCCATCATAGTTTCTCCTTCTTTCAGCGGATCCTGTAAGGCTTGTAAACTGTTGTTGAGAGTTATCTTGAGTTCGTTAAGTTTGTCAGTATGTCGAAGGAAGACTGTATTAAACCTTTGTGATTCTGTTTATCCGGTTGTGCAGTACTTCTTTGGTTTCAGTTTCATCTTGGCCACAAACAGGTGGTGATCTGAAGCTTTGTCAGCTCCTCACATGTTTCCCACATCTTCCACTGATCTTGTGAGTTTATTTACTGGTGTAAATGTGATCTATCTGGTTCAGTGTAGTTTGATCTGATGAGACCCATGTAGCATTGTGTTTGTGTTTGTATGGGAATATTGTGCCACCTAAAACCAATTTGTTGAATGTACATAGATTTACGAACCTCTCCCTATTTTCGTTTCTTTCTCCGAGTCCATGTCGTCCCATGATATCTTCATACTCAGTGTTGTCCATTCCAACTTTGACGCTTAGGTCTATCATCAGAATGGTCAGATCCTTTCCTGGACACTTCGTTATGATCGATTGCAGCCTCTCATAGAACTGATCTTTATGGTCGTCATTGCTATCATTGGTGGGTGCATAACATTAGATAACATTCATTGTAATTTCCTCCTTCTTTGTCTTGATAGATGCTTTGATGATCGTGGATCCATAAGATTCCGATCCTATAAGTACTTTTCGTGCTTTTTTGTTAGGCATCAGAGCAATTTCTTGAGTGTATGGAGCATTTTCTTCTTCATGACCAGAGTACAACAACCCCTCTCCCGAAGGTAATCTTTCCTGTCCAGCTTGATTCCAATGGGTTCCACGTATTCCGAGAACCACCGATTTGTATCTCCTCATTTCCACAGCTATTTTATTGACCCTCCTATTCTTTCACATTGTCTAGGCATTCCATGTACCTATAATAATTATTGCTTTGGTTGTTAGGAGTTTCATCGGCCTGGTGACTTCCTAAGAATCTCGGCTTTGATCATGAGGCATCATAATTCTTCTGAATGAAAATCCTTCAACTCGCAGGACAGAGTTTAAATGGTTTGAATTGCTTTTTCTTACCGAGGTTGTTTTATGTGGGATGGTGTTGCTCCCTCCAGACGAAGTTCTGTGATATATATATATAATATTATTTTTAGCTTTCAAACAAACTGAAGCTGTTTTATACCTTTTAATGTTTGTTTTCTTTTACATTTCAGGTCGGTTTTCAATTACGAAAATCTCAGAAACGTATTCACTTCCCAATATACTTGGATATTACTCCTTTCTGTTCTGTTCTCGCTGTGGTAAATAGTTTTTTGCCATCTTTCTTTGATAATAATTATTATAACCTCTGTTCGTTTGGTATACAGAAGTACCCATTGTGTACATTTATATTTGTCAATACTGATCATATGTAGCCTCTGCCAGGGAAGTCCTACTCACTGCCTTCTCATGGCATTACTGTTGTTTATGAAATTGAGAGGATGAACAGTGAATGTTTAACTCTTTAACCGTTTTGGTGAATATGAACGGTCCACCTAGGGGAGTTGGAAAACCCTGATTCCAAACCAATGGTGCACATGGGCTCCAGGATCCTGAGGAAACAAGTGGCGTATGAACCTATTATTAGTCACCAGCTACCATAAGACTGCTCCACTGCCTTGTGGATCAGACCTTTTAGTCAAAGGCTCGGGGTGTGGCCACCTAAGAAAACCACCTGCTTCAGTTTGTGCACCTGGGCAGTATCACAGTTCTCACACAAATCGAATGAAATTTGTGAGGCGCATATTTATCTGGTGCTTTCTTGTACCAATATTTATCTGGTTAAATAAATAAATAATTAAATAAATACTGGCCAACGTATCACCAGTTCTGTTCAAATATTTACGTCACTTATTATATCTCATGAAATTATGCTTTGTATTGATCGCTAATTATGCCCGACCGTTGCTGTTACCTTGACGTGGTGGTCGGGCTTGCCGATCGTGATGAACCAATCGAGCTATACTGGCTGGAACAATCGTTCCTCAAGGTCCTACCATGCCAGGCAGGTCGGTTGAAGAGCGGTAAGACTAAAAGCAACAAACCAAAGGTCCGAAGGAGAAGTCGTACTGCTGACAGTACAGAGGTGTAGCAGCAGTAAGGTGTTTCCTTTAGACAACCAGCATGACAGTGATGCTGCCTTCCCACATGGAGGGTTGGGGTTAGAAAAGGTCGACCCTAAAAATGCACACCTCGCTTTATCCCACGGATATCCGTCTCCGACGGTAAGGTCCCAACAAGTAAGGAGCTAACACAAAAACTACCCACAAAAAGGTCATGTGTGACCGACCCCAAGCAGTTGTCCCTTGGGCACTGCGGTCACGCTCTCAGGTCATTAAGATCTTTTCTTACCCAATTTCCTTTTCAGGTACCCCTAGAAGAACCCTTCCACGGTGCGGGCAACCGGGAAGTGATAACTGCCCTCATACCTCTAACAGCACTCAAGATCACTGACCTACTATACATTAGTATTCTGAGAGGTGGTTATTAGGAAATATTGCAGTTGCAGAGGTTCTGTTGAGCGTTTGGCGGTGAACAAGATAATTGATTTTAAAGGTTTGTGAACTGTTATCACTTTCCATTTTCCCACACTCCGTAGAAATGCATTTTCTTGTGACGCTTGTATTATTATTGATTGTCTTGTCCATCTGAAAAGATGATTACGGAGTCAAATGTCATTTACTTTAGATTGGCCAGGTATAAGCAGTTGTCTCTTGATGGGTTGACAAGACTGTTACTTCTAGTCCAGCTTCTTTTTCTGCCTTCTCAGTAAGATATTGCTTCTACGATATTGGTAACATGGTTTTATAAACCACCCGTACACCTCTAGTTGCACTCGATTCTACGACTGTAGGTTGATCTAACAGATCATTTCTTGTGGTTAAATTGTTGCTCACTCAACGATCCTATCTAATATTTCATTATAATAATTGGTTTGATTCTTGTTTGACTCTGTGAAATACAAGTATTATTTAAAATTATAGAGCAGAGGGGGTTTTGTGGAGAATTTAGTATTTTCACAGTTGAAAGCATAAGTCAGTTGAAACTAGACTACCATCGAAAACCTGGAAGGGCTCTGACTCGAGACTGGTAGGTCCTGGGTTCAAATCTCGCGAGTGTGGGATCGTGGATTCGCACTTCTGAGGAGTCCCATAATAGGACGAAACGGCCGTCCAGTGCTTCCAGGTTTTCGATGGTGTTCTAGCTTCAACTGACTCATGATTTCAACTGTGAAAATATTTAAAATTAGTCTAATGAAATGTTATTCCTCCAATTCTCTATTTGTTTAAACTTTACTTATAGACCCGTTCCAATCAAATTCGTTATCGTCTTTACGGTGTGATTGAACATACTGGACATTTAACTTCTGGCCATTATGTAGCTTATGTAAGTGTGCCAAAATCATACACTAATTGTAATGATAATGAATCAGATCTCATGGAGAATCAATTCATTGGCCCTTTGAATCGTTCACCTAAATGGCCTTTATCTGTTAATGATTTAATTCAACGTCTTCGTCGATGTGATCATCATCAACTGTTGTTATCATCGAATAATTTTATGTCTTATTCTATTCAAAATGACACCAACTCACTTGTGTGTAGTAATAATGATGGCAACAATACCATCAATCATTCAACAAATCATAACCATGAAGTGGTTAATGATGATGATCATGATGATGATCATGATGATTCACGTCAATGGTTCTATTGTTCCGATAGTCATGTAACACGTGTATCCCAGTCAACTGTATTGAATTGTCAGGCTTATGTTTTATTTTATGAACGTATTGAATGAAGAGTACGTGGAGGTTTTAAAAACAAACATATTTATGTATACCTTATGAGTGTATGTGTGTGTGTGTGAATGTGTATATATTACCACTGGTTACTTTTCTTTCATAATATCACTTACGTGAAATGATGATTGTAAATAGTTTCACTTTCCCTCTCTTTTTATATATGATCAAATAGGTTTTGGGAAAAAATATATATGTTACAAGAATGAAAACAGAGTTTCTATTTTGTTGTTAGTGTTCTAGTTCTTCATGATATTCGTGTGTGTTTGTGGTGAATAATTTTAGTATGGACTATCTGATGGGCTTATCTACCCTAGATATATATGTGCAAAGTTCAGGTAAATATGTGTTATCATTGCACTCAAATACCCTGGAACGACCGAGAGTGGAGAGAGTCCGCTCTCCCTCTCCTAACGCTCTCACATGCCCACGTGTATATAGTCTCTGCCAGGAAAGTCCTACTCACTGTCTTCTCGCCACTGGGGTGTTGTTTACGAAATTGAGAGGACGAAAAGCGAATGTCTTTTTAATTGGGTTGTTGGACACGAAGGGTCTACCTAGGGAGTTGGAAAACCCTGATTCCAAAACAATGGTGCACATGGGCTTACTCCAGTATCCTGAGAGAACAAATGGCGTATGAATCAATTGTTGAGACTGCATCTCCTTACGATGCTCCACTGCCTTGTGGATCAGACCTTGAGGTCAAGGGCTCCGGGTGTGGCCACTTAAGAAAACCATGTGCTTCAGTTTGCTCATCCAGGCAGTATTACAGCCCTCACACAAATCAAATGAGATTCGTGTGTGTTATGCCTGAAACTAAATCGATTCCGCGGTAACGAACGAAAGCCAATGACACAATGACACGATAAGCTATTCTAATCTGTTGTCCCAGGCCCCGCTAACTAGATGAAGAAGTCCAAGGCAAGTAGGGGAATATATATGTATTCCGTAAGCAGCCGAGTACAAGCAATCGAATAATGGAAAAAGTCAAGCGCATTTATACAACAACAATTTGTCCTTGAGCGTCATTGGTAAATAGCACACACAAAGAAACAAAGGACCAATAGCGGTTAAGATAGTTTACAGGTGGGAAATATGACGTGAAGGTAAAAAGAGCGCTTTTGGCGCGAAAACAGCTAAATTCAAATTTTCAAAAGAAAACTACAAGATTAAGCCATTTACCAAGTAAGTTCTGGGGATTTGACATCCCCAACACCTCCCCTTTTTAAGAAATCCGAGCTCCTCCTCCCCCACGAAATAGTGTTGGATCCTCATATACCCAATTTTCTACTAATGCGATTCTATTTATAACATGTTTCTGGCATTCAATAGGGAACCTGCTAAGATTGACTGGATGGTGAGGATCGACACTTGATGTGAGGTCAGAATTTGATTCTGCAGAAATGTAGTCATTAGACTTATTGCAAACATCACTGGCAGGTTGTGGATCACTATGAAAAACAGTGTCCAGCAAAACTGCGCTAGGTTCCGGATTTGATGCATGTAACAAATTTCCTGGACAAGCTTGGGAATCTTTGGCATTAGATTCGGTAAAAATTTCTATTGCAGAATGCGATTCGCTCGGTGTGCTGCTCGATATGATGTCTGGCACTTCGTAGGTGATTGGTGCGACCACTTCATGAGCTTTTAACATAGCATCGTGTTGATGAGAGCTGAAAGCGTCATTGATAGGACCTGCTAATTCCAGGATAGTGGAGTTTGAATCCACTACCGAGCATGTTGCTGAAACGGATAGTGATGGACAACCGGGCATGTCTTGTGATACTGCAGTTTCGTTTAGGTTGCGGCTTGTTGAGGAATCATGGGGGCTGCGATCATTTGCTAGCTCTGTGTGCAATTCAGAGATTAATACATCCACTTCTGACGCATATGTGAAGCATTGATGATCAAGAAACTGTGTACGTAGTTTGACCATGAACTCCAAATGTCGGTCAAAGAGCAACTGTAAGCGGTCAGAAGGGAGCGTCATTTTTCACTTTTGTCCCCGTCGCCAATTGTTATGCCTGAAACTAAATCGATTCCGCGGTAACGAACGAAAGCCAATGACACAATGACACGATAAGCTATTCTAATCTGTTGTCCCAGGCCCCGCTAACTAGATGAAGAAGTCCAAGGCAAGTAGGGGAATATATATGTATTCCGTAAGCAGCCGAGTACAAGCAATCGAATAATGGAAAAAGTCAAGCGCATTTATACAACAACAATTTGTCCTTGAGCGTCATTGGTAAATAGCACACACAAAGAAACAAAGGACCAATAGCGGTTAAGATAGTTTACAGGTGGGAAATATGACGAAGGTAAAAAGAGCGCTTTTGGCGCGAAAACAGCTAAATTCAAATTTTCAAAAGAAAACTACAAGATTAAGCCATTTACCAAGTAAGTTCTGGGGATTTGACATCCCCAACAGTGTGGCGCATATATATGGTGCTTCCTGGTACCAATATTTATGTGTTTAATAAAGAAAATGTGTTATTATTGTTAATCTGTCGAAGGTAGTCGACAGGAAACCCTATTTCGCATGAGTTCCGTTCTAGTAGGCACGTGTTAACAATGTTTACAACAACCTTGAGGGGACTGACGCTTCCTGTGGGATTCAAATATAGACCACTAAATTTCAGTGTAATACGTCACCACTGAGCTATTCGGGCCATGATTGACCTCTTATTAGACAGTGATATATACAGTTGATTAATGATTAAGTAGTGACTATTATCATGTTCGCGTATCTATCAACCAAGTTACTATCGTAATTTTTAACTGCAATAAGAACTATCCAGTATGATAATATGTATAAAATACTTACCACCACCTATCTGCGACTTCACTGAACAATAAACATAGACAACCTCCTACCCTCTGCTTCAGATTGTCCAATCAATCCCTAGGTTAGACGTTGAAGATTTATTTAAAATCCAAAAAAGACTAATTAGGCTAACGACTAATGATCGATAGTAGCCTTCTGTTAGACAGGACTAAAACATTCGAAATGATTTATCAGATATCTGCAATTTTCTCCACTGGGGTTCAATCTTGTTTCTTACTTACTGTAGAATTTGTGGGAATTCGAACCAACAAATGAAGTCTTTACATTGAAAGAAAGTGTTTATATAATACGAGTTTTTGTTCTTTGGTTAGAGAAAAATCACAACAGATCATCATGTCAATTCTTTCGAACTTGTATTTGTGTTTCCCCATGCACTAAACAAATGATATGTGATGTGGTTTACTTATATCCATATAAGTAGTATATGGTGTTGGTCAGACATAGGATGTATTTTGGCAGAAGATCGATAAGGAAAGAACTGAAATAAAGCGCAATCGGTACGAAAATGCATGAATAATGAAATTAGAGAAGATGAACTGATATTTACAGAGGGAACAGTGAAGATTGAGACAATCGATTAATAGTATGTAAATCAACGGTTTGCTGTATGTTTGTCAGATTTCACTGAGAGTTTGTAATTTTGTATTGAAATACATGCGATTGTCCCCACTCGTGTCCTTGTTCACTACAATAGGAAACAAGGTAGCCATATAACCAATCGATAAAAAGCTGTTTACTGGATGGCAGACTTCAGTTAAATATACACCCAAGGAAGATTTTTCAAGCTGAAAGAGTTTCTCTCACATTTGTCAATTTCAACAGGATCTTCTTCACCACCTTTTTATTCTGAACCATATTGGATAATCTCTCAATTTACTGTGTTAATCAACCTCTAGGACTCCAATCGAAGAATCATAATGAACAAATAAATGTCAGGTGTACACAAGTATCTTTTATATCAATGTGCCGTTTTATAAGTCTACCACGCCGACTTCTGGTATCAACAGTGTAGAAGCTATTGAGATGACATCTGTAAAACTTGATTCTATTAAACATACATTAAAGTTAAGTAAAAAGAAATATATTTCACAAATTTCTATCTAAAATGTCCCCATAATATACAATTAATCATTCAAATGTCTAATATTCTGTTTGAAGATTTAGGTATGTGACAATCCACAAAACTAATTGATTGTATGCAGAGATGGATGTTGGTTAGCAGTGGAATCCAGAACGCGCGTTTCGTCCTATTTGGGACTCGTCAGCTGGATGTACCTGCATCTCAGAGTTGATGTTCACTCTGGGACTCGAACCCAGTACCCTCGCTTCAAACGCCATCGTGTTATCCACTCGGCCACTGAGTCCTGGTAGCCACTTGCTTGTGCGATGGGGTGAATTGATTCCAGTAACAAAGTTTGTAAACTTATTGTTAGAGAATTATTCAATTCACTGACTAATGGTCTGCTACGCGAACATTGATTTGCTGGCAAGAAAAGAGAAGAACATCGTAGTGAAAACGTCTGTAATGGAATTCAATTCTAATTGAAAAATGTTCACGGTCACATAACAGTCAGTCAGTTACAACGTAGGACCAGGTACATATATGCATCAGTCTAAGTTGACATACCTCATTAACACAACAACATAAACACTAAATTCATAGAAGTAGTTCATTTAATGGTGATAATATATAAAAGATTGTGTGAAGGGATATAATGCGAGAGGAAAGAATTAGTTCGTGAAAATAAAGATATAAATCAATTTTAATCTCACAGTTTAAGGGAAGATAGAGAGTGTATACACTTACACCATTGTGATAGATTTTGAGTCTTGTCACCCACAGTCTCCAACGATTGGTTACAGTTGTCACATGGACCCCAACCAAATAGTCTGCATTTACCAACATGGCTCAGACTGGAAGTTAGTGACTTTATGGCCGCCCTTAAGTTTTTTCCAACCTTCCTCAACACTAATCAGCATTGAGCGTCGTGATAATCGGTGTTCAGGTATACGTAACACGTGACCCACCCATCTCAGTCTATAAAGATTCACAACCTCATCAACTGATTTACCATCATTCCCTAATACCCTATGTCTAACCTCACCATTATTTACCTGGTCATCACAGCAGATGTGAGCAATATTTCTGAGATATCTGTGATTTAATACTAGTAACTTGCGTATATCTTCTACCCTTAATAGCCACGTTTCTCAGCCGTACTTGTAACAGCACTTAAAATCACGATTACATATATCCCTAACTAGATCATAACACACAGTGGAATAGCATAGATGCCAAAAAAACGTTTAAAGTATAAAATTACGATACCAATTCCGTGATTAAGTTACAATAATTTGGGAAC